TAAGGTGCCCTCATCAGTCACCACTGCGTGTACCGGCTAGGTACGGCATTGCCAGCAAGCTGTGACGTAGGCTGACGCATGCGCATAAAGCTTTCGCGTGAGATAAAATCTCACGACTGCCCAACTCTGGCTGGTCAGCTTTATGCGCATGCGTCAGCCTACGTCACAGCTTGCTGGCAATGCCGTACCTAGCCGGTACACGCAGTGGTGACTGATGAGGGCACCTTATTGATTCAACATATTTTTTCAAAAATTCGTATAATTGCACTGTAAACTATGAATGTATAGGTTGGGTTAGATTACATTAAGCTGGTTTTATGTTAGTTATATATATGACTGTATAAAACTATACAACTATATATATATATATTATAAGTAAAATTACAATCGTAGCTCTTAAATTCTGAATTCTAATTCTAAATTAAATTCTAATCGTAGCTCTTAGCTCGGTATAGTTCTCTGAAGATTTTTTAAAGCCTTCAGAGAACTATACCAATTACCAGGTCACACCACGTGGAGGTGGCTACGATAGTGACCCACCCTAATCAGCCTACGTCACAGCTTGCTGGCAATGCCGTACCTAGCCGGTACACGCAGTGGTGACTGATGAGGGCACCTTATTGATTCAACATATTTTTTCAAAAATTCGTATAATTGCACTGTAAACTATGAATGTATAGGTTGGGTTAGATTACATTAAGCTGGTTTTATGTTAGTTATATATATGACTGTATAAAACTATACAACTATATATATATATATATATCATCAATTATATAATATAATATAATGGGAATAATATGATGGAATATGGGAGATTATTATATTCAAAATAACACAAAAGCACAATAACTTTAAATACACTAAATGATTTTATTATTTAAGAAAAACGACTTGGAAGGACCTCTTTGAATAACTATATTTTATAAGTGTGAAAATTATAATATCAGAGAAACAATAACAAAGAAATACAAGGATTTTATTTTGTTAACATGCATAGATCTGATAAAAATCGAGCGGTATGTTTTTCCTTTGCTCTTGCAACAAATATTGGAATACATATAGCAAATCGGCTGCAAACGTAAAAAATAATAATAATTATAAATAAATTTAATATTACTTTTATTATATATAATTTGTTGTATTATTTAACCCTTTTATTCTCTTTCCTGCAATTTTCTTCAGATTTATTTTTTTCCTCACTAGGGCCTAATGATACCTTATATTTCATCAAAGTGTATACGCTACTGAGGACTTCTACGGATAGTTTACTGCGCATGCACTGGGACTACCCAACACTGATCTCCATCAAAGTGGATACGCTACTGAGGACTTCTACGGATAGCTTACTGCGCATGCACTGGGACTGCCCAACACTGTGTCCAACACTGATCGAACGAATGAGAGCGACATATGAAGAATGAACAAAAATGTATTGTTCGAAGATAATGTTCTCCTGTGAATTGAATTATAGGAAGCACTAATTTGACATTATTGTATGGTATTATTAAACACATTGTAGTGAACAGGAATCATGGTTATACGTATAAATAACAAATGATTTGATATTGTTATTTAATTGTTATAATTTGCATATTTTAGTTTTGAGTTCTGTTACACATATTTATTTATACTTGAAATGAGGACAGCAAAGAAAACAGTGTTTGTCACTGTGGGTACTACTAAATTTGATGACTTAATTAAAACAGTACTCACTTCAGAAATTTTACAGGTAAATATAATGAAATATGTAAATTTATACATTTTCTGTCACAAGTCTTTACATCACAAAGAATCTTTTATTTTTTATTATGTTGCTTTCAGGCATTATCATTAAAAGGCTACAATGAAATGATTTTACAAATTGGTAAAACTGTTTTTGTACCTGATTGTACATTACATTATGGTTTTGTCAATATAGAATATTTTAACTTATGTTTTAACATACAAGAGTATGTAGAGAATGCAGATCTGATCATAAGTCATGCAGGAGCAGGTAGTATTCTTGATGCGTTAGAAAAGAGAAAGAACTTGATTGTAGTTACAAATCAAAGTTTAATGGATAATCATCAGTTAGAATTAGCTGAGCAACTTTATAAAGATGAACATTTGTACTACTGTACCTGCGAAACATTATTAGATACTATTCAAACAATGGATTTTACAAAACTAAAACCATTTATCAGTGGAAAAAGTAAACGTATTGCTGAGTTTATAGATCAAATAATGGGATTTTCAGTTTAAAAACGTATTGAGAAATATTTGAAAACAAATATAACATTTATTTCTACACAACAATAAACTTTTAAAGGGTTAATTGATGTCATTTAATATATTTTAGTTTTTACATGTGTTACAGTATGAGTATATAACAGTTTCAATTATTTGTTATAACAGATATAGCTTTGATATAATTTACAACAATAAGAATTGCTTAAATAACGGTTTCTTAAAATTATGGTGTAATGGCATAGAAAAATTCATAATTTGCAAGTTAAAAAAATGATGAGTAACAACGGCAGTTCTTGTTAAATATTTTTTTACATATTATCTTTGGACATTTGCTATCATTAAAATAAAAGCTATATCGATAAAAGTATTCTTTTGAACACTATAGTGTTAAAATAAATTCAGTTCTCCAACAAATTTTCCTGTTACTTTCATAAGTTTTGTATTTAGGAATGAAGTAGACAGCCAACTTCGTACGACGATGAGTATAGGTATTGCGTTGTTAGCAATTTAAAGAATTCACACATTTCAATGTGTTGCATTGTTTCGTTTTTTTAGATGATCTCATTATTTATACTTTAAATTTATTGTACGAAGATACATCCACATGAGGCAAACTACATATATATATAGCGACATGTGTCTTTAATTACACACCAAGCCAAGACGTGTCATTTCTTTCAAAAGTTCGTTTCCCATTTGCGCAGGACTCCTCGTGACTATTACACCAGCCTATAGGAAATAGTTTCGTATGCGATAAACGTGACCAAATTAAATTAAACAGATTTAGGGTTTAGTTCTACCTTTTCTAGTGCATTGATTTTATCTTGCGCGCCTCCTTTTCCTCCTGAAATAATCGCACCAGCATGTCCCATTCGTCGTCCAGGAGGAGCAGTGATACCAGCAATAAATGACACTACTGGCTTAGCCTTCCCACCCTAAAATATGTTAAACATACATAAGATCTATGTATATTAATTATACAGTAATTTACATTGATGAGGATTCAAAACATGCTTTGAGGGATGAAGTGCATCAGGATTACTGAAAAATAATGATCAGTAATTAGGATAGGGTAGGGTAGGAGTTAAGTACCAATAATGTATCATTGCAACCAACAGTGTTATTTTCAATGAGGTACTCCGCCGCTGATTCTTCTGCACTACCACCAATTTCACCAATCATTATAATACCATCACATTCTGGATCTTTAAGGAATACATCCAAACAATCAATGAAATCTGTTCCATTGAAAGGGTCACCACCAATTCCAACACAAAGTGTTTGTCCAAGACCAGTCTTAAAATGATAATAAGATTAAATTTAAAACAAATTTAATTTACTTTTGAAGAAAGACTAAGACATTAGAAAAGAGAAAGAAATAAGTATTATTTACTTACAAGGGTTGTTTGATTTACAGCTTCATATGTTAAAGTTCCAGATCTTGACACAATACCAATTTTTCCTTTTTGATGTATATGGCCTGGCATAATACCTATTTTACACTGAGATAGTAATAGATTATAAAATAAATGTAGGAACTCTAATACATAGATATTAATAAATTTATAATATTTATACCTGCTCTGGAGCTATTATTCCAGGACAATTTGGCCCAATTAAACGAGATTTGTTTTGTTCTAAAAGTCGTCTTTTAACTTTAACCATATCATGTTGTGGAATACCTTCTGTAATACATACAATTAATGACATTTCTGCATCTATAGCTTCCATAATAGCTGATGCAGCAGCTGGAGGAGGAACATAAATGACACTTGCTGTAGCACCTGTGGCTTCTTTAGCCTATAATAAAAATCACGTAATCTATAAATTTAATGTCATTTTATATGTGATTTTTTAATAGATATTATGAAATTTAGGCAATATAATGAAAAGCTTTTCCAACCTCTTTTACAGTTTTAAAAACTGGTTTTCCAAGATGTTCCGAACCAGCCTTCTTGGGACTAACACCACCTACTATTTTAGTTCCATACTCAATGGCTTGTTTGCAATGAAATGTTCCCTGTTTACCAGTAAAACCCTGACATATTACTTTAGTATTGGAATCAATTTTCAAATTTTTTCTAGTATCTGTATAATTAAACCTTATTTGGGAACGTAACAAACCTCCACAGTTCCTAACTGAAACATAAAAGAAACAATTTATGAAAAACATAGATGCATGACATTGTATCAAGACATTCATTAGAACAAGTTATCTTTAATTACTAATTAATATTTAGTAATAATTTAAAAGTATTGATGTATAATAATTGGAAATTTTATGTCACTATTGTCTCAACATTGGCTTATTTATAGGAACAATATCAAATTTCTTAACTTTTAGGTCAAGGTTCATTGAATGAACATCATCCAATAAGTTCATATGATTTGACATTTATTATGACAGGATAAGGAATTACAGCAGAGATGTAGTACAACAATCATATAAGCCATTGATTTCCAGTAACAGTACAATATAATGTTAACAAAAAAGATGAGATATGAGTGGCATGAAGTATATGTGAAGTAAAAAAAAGTTAAAAAAACATGTATTGTGACATGTATATAAGAAAGAAGTAAAAATTTAATACATAATTATATAATGCTTCATTTATAGTCAAACTAAACTACATATCAAAGTCAATTAATTGTATGTGAATTCCCCCATAAAGAGTGAATTATGAATAATTATATATATCCTTATATAATGGGAACATTAATATGAACCTAGGATGTATTTTTAGTTTTTGAAAATATAGCAGGTTCAAAACGAAACACGGGAATAGGGCGTGCAATCTTGCAATATCGTACAAATAAGTTTCAAGTATTTCGAAACGTACAAAGATCCTTTTTATTAACATTGAATAAACTACCCAACAATTATTCATGTTTTACCTGTGAATTTGGAAAACGTCCTGACAGCCACAGCCATTTTTTAACTAATGTTTCTTTTAAAAAAGATCACTTAATAAAATCGAATTATTACAGAACAACCATTAAGAGGACTAACTTCGAAGAACTAGCGAGGTCAAGTTCGAAAGAAAATATGTATACGGACAAAGTGCACTTATCGCATGTACCCAACCCCACCGTACATCGTTGCGGAATTGTCAAATGTCAGGAACGTAGAACAACGAAATGATTGGTCAAGTACTTCTTGAAGCCTTTATTTAAGTCTGATTTTCAAAGTAGTTCATTTACATAACTTGTAAGAACAAGCAATTGGTTAAAACAAATGTCTTTTTCTATAATAAGCTTATTCTAAATCCCTGTAAAATTGTGACCAAATTAGAGCATGGGATCTCACAGCTTTGTTTACTGGTACATGCATAGAAACATTAGTTCTATTTCTATGTGATATTTTTTGCTTTGAACGTAGAAGTTACATATTAATATATTGCTCATAAGCGATATATCCAATGGCAATAATAACGAAGAAAACTTTGTTTAATTTAGGGTTCACGTCAATTCTGAACCATTCATGAAATCTACAGATTTTAAATACAAATTGGATTAATTGGAATAATTTTTGAAAAATTTTTACCCTATACTTCATGTACGATTAAATTCATGTTGCAATTATTATTTGTAATAAATGTAATAATTCTATTGTACGGAAAGGTAGTGTGCTGCATAATCAACAGAGACCACCTATAGCTGAGCATTGTAGTTAATGAAAGCTACGATTGATGGTATCGTAGTTTGGCAAATGTAGATTACTGAAAGAAAGTCTACGTAAATCCTTTTTCGATTTTATTGTTATTACTGACACAAGAATTTAATTATATACAAATTTTCATATGGATTAAAAAGTTTATTGAAATTCCTAGTGAACCGGGTATAAGAGTGATATTGATGCGTATAGATAGTACGACATAAATGACAGTGATGTATAGAAAATAAATATCTCGATAAAAATGACGTGGTGAAGAGAACCTTATCGTTTTACAAAACCATCGAGGAAATTGCAAGGTACGCGGCTTTTCCTGCTTGATATTGTTCCTTATTTATGTTGTTCTAAATATTTAGGAAGTGATTAACAAAATGTATTTAAAACGCCGATTGTATCAGATATAGTTTTGAAGATGATTGAAGAATATCTTTTATAATCAAGAAGCAATTACACTTATGATACTTACAGACTATTCGGAAAGATTTTTACTATCTATTGTTACGTATTACGTGTTATGAAATTATTTGCTATTATAGTGGTGGTTAATATTTTTATATGTTTGAAACGTATTTCATGTAAGGATGAGAAAAACGTTCTATTAATAAAAAACGAAAAAAATATGTGCATATTTTTGACTAGCATAACAGATATTCATTTCAGTATACAGTTTTTGATACTATTTTATGTTTTATTTCATTCTTTTGTCATTGAAAAAGTGGTTCTATCTTTTCATCATATTTAATTATAGTATAATATAAATCAGACACAATTAATTATCATATATTAAGTATTGAATATATAAATATTAAGTAATCAAGTATGAAACATAAAACAGGATGGAAGAAAGTACAAGTTCTGAAAATGTTTGGTGTAAAACTAAAGCTGAAGAACAAAGTAGCTTATACCATGGAGAATCTATAACTCAGTCTATGGAAGCTAATTCTACTTCTTTAGCAGATATATTCGATACAGCATTTACATCAACGGTTGATCCTTCTCCACAATCTAGATTTAATTCAGGTACAGGAAAAATGTTGATATTAAATGTAAGAACTAATGTAGGATAATGTTATTGGATAAAGGTTTATTACATAAAATGATACATAGAATAAAGCATTACAAGTACATGTAACAAATACTAATAATTCAGTTTTTTCGTTATAGCTAATGAGATGGAATACGAACACCTATTCGCAGAAAGTGATATAGAGGATTCAGATGTAGTACCTCTTAACCGTTATGTAAATTCACCGCATCATCCTACTTCAGATAACAATTTTGTTTTTGGGAATTATTTAAGTGCACCTGAAACTGGCGGAAGAATTTTACATGAACGTGATCCTCCGGTAAAACATAGAAGTAAAAAAAGGGAAGAACATAAATTAATCAATCAATCAATTGATAGTTTAAATGTAGCTGGACCATCAAGAATATCAGATGGAATTTCTAATAGGTAGTATCTCAGAATTACCTTTCCTTTACTACTTTTTCATTGGTGATACTTTTCCTTTCAGCGCAATCAGATCTACAACTAGTAATGGAGCCATTTTAAGCAGAGTTATACAGAACATTGAAAATGACAGTGCCAATGAATCCAATACTTTATATCATTCAGTTTTGCCAAATACAATTAATCCACAACAGCATTCTATGCATACGACAAGTATAATTACATTTTTTATTATGTTAATATTAAATGACAATTATGATAAAAGACTATATAATATTTTTCAGTTAATTTCTATATTCTTAAGTAATTACATTTTGTTGTACACTGCATTTACTTTTATAATATAGGAAGTGATGATACACCATCAGCACCAGATCTGCAACTAGATTGGTCCTCAAGCAGTGATGATGCCACCAGTAGTGAGGGTGCTACCAGTAGCGATGATGCTACTAGTAGTGATGATGAAGATGGGTCTGTTGAAGTCCTTGGAACAGTAAATCATAATAACAAGGTAAAACAGCTCAAATATAGCTTTCAGCAATTCACTTCTAATACGATATGCTTTAATGTATTTCAACAGCAAAATTCTGTACAAAATAATGAAGAAGGTAATCGTCCAGTAACTGTAGTTGATTTAACTGTGGAATCAGACGAAGAACATACTCCACCGACGTCAACAGCTACTGTTGTAAATCCAACAGATTATGTACATAGGTACGAAAAGAAAAGTCTTTAATATATACATATTCTCGTATTATTTTTAATCATTATTTTAGTGGGAACTACTCTTACTGCATGCATGGTTCACCAGACTACATGTACCATAACAGATGTATGCACCACAATTGTAGAATTCCGATTCCAGTTATACCCGTAGGGTATGGTCAATTACCAGGTAAATTTTTCAAGCCATGGAAACAAATGAAGTGTTTTATAGAATTATTACTAATTTGTTTCTTTTTTAAGATATTTCTATAGGAATGAGACCACGTATGCATCCTATGCAAGAAAGATTATGGAGGGAACAGCAACGCATGCAAGAAGTTCGCAGAAGAAGTCTTCATCCAAGATTTTCGTCGCATCACACGTTAGTATTGTAGTAAATCGACGTAATTTTACGTTACGTAATAATTTTTATATTTAGTAGCACATCGTCGTGTAATCCACACGTACACCAACCAAGCCAGCATACGTGTAACAACGGAAACGCTAATCCTCCGAATAATCGTTACAATGGTTCGGAAAATATGGCATTCGCAGAAAATTATCTTCCGCCTCCACTATTACCACCACTGCTGCAGCCCCCCGTTTACAGTCATCCGGAAGCTAGAGGAACACCAAGTTTCAGTCCACCTTGTCCCGTGCAACCTGTATCTGTAATTCAGTACATCCTTTCCTTTAGAAATTTAATTGTTATTCAGGCAATTAATATTATTTTACATGTTTAGGACAATTCTTTGATCGGTGTTGCGGAAATGGAACCGACACCATCGGCGTTACCGTCAATGTCGGTTCATCCTTATGTGCATCATCACATGTATCACTATGGTCCTCATCGAAGACCACCTGGACCACATATCCATATAAATTGGTTACCACATCCTCATTTGGTACGATTTTAATTATGAAATATTGAATAATGTAAATTTCTCTGTACAATTTATGCTACAATTTTTTACATATTTTGTGTATAGCAAGGATCGGGAGCTCATGATATGATGTCATTTTCACCTTTGGGTTCACTCCATATGCGCCTCGCATATAATTTACGACGTATAGCTCATATTAGTTGTGGAGCAACGCAAGAGTCAATTGAAAGTCATACATTCCGCTATAAGTACAAACGGGTAATAACTAGTAATAAATACGACTTCATGAATATTAGATACTATAGTATTATTATTAGTGTATGTTCACTATATTTTATTTGGCAGGTTAAGAAAGTTGAAAATGGTGAAGATGCTATAGAAAAGTGTACTATATGTTTGTCTGAATTCGAAGACTGTGAAAGTGTCAGGTACAGGTTATCTTTTGTATACGAATATAGACCCGCGATATTTATAACATCTTTTAGATTAATTGTGTTTATAATGTTTTTCTTTTTATTGTTTTTGTGCAGAAGGCTTCCATGTATGCATTTATTTCACATAGACTGTGTTGATCAATGGTTATGCACGAATAAGCGCTGCCCTATATGTCGAGTGGATATCGAAACCTTCCTACATAAGGAACTTGCCAGCACTGCATAGTTTAAGGTCGATTTTATCCAACTGTTTTCGTTTTTAAATATAATCAGGTAATATCCACATCTTTTAAATACTTTGAGATATCCTAATCACGGGTAATCCCACTTCTGATGATGTTATGGATGTTGGTGTAAAAAAATTTCACTGTGAATAATCAAAATATCAATAACTAAAATAGAACTAAGTTCCTGGAGTAGTAGGAGAGGTTTGTTTTGATTTAACATTATTATCTTTGCATTCGTTTTATGAGTATTAATAATGCTGTATATAATGAATGTTAGATTTGTTACATGTTATTACTGAAACTTGTAATTTTTTTTAATGACTTGTCGCGTATATAGTGCTTCGGGTAACAACAAATTGTTGAATTGTATCGAGCATTTGAAATCGTATATGTCTTCACATTTTTTTATCAAATTTTTTTATTACTTGTAATAAGAAAAAAAAGATGTTACATTATCAAAACCTCTGGGCAGTTGCCAAGTTGTGAATCCTTTTTAATGGAAACTAAGAAAAAAGCAAATGTAAACTAATAAGGATCATATAAAAATAGTTCATTTCTAAATAATAGTAATTCTACTGGGTGCTATCTTCATATAAATTTTATATACGCTAAACATGTATTAATAATTTATGAAGCAGTTAAAAGTTTCGTATTGGAACGATTCTTTGAGGCTATACCTGTAAATTTTCGCTAAGTTTTTATATTAAACAAATTTTTTTAATAAAATTGTACTTGTTATACTTAAATAAGTAATTGTAAAATTTAATCGGTTAGTTACGAGTGAAATACGTTTTGATATTTTAAATTTTGAAATTTTTTACTATGTATAAGAAAAACATAATGAACTTTAATATACCAAACCATTGATTGTGAGACATGATTCTACATCGGTGTTTGCGGTATTACGATCGTTTTCGTAAAGTCAGTTTAAGAGCAGTGTATATTATGGAAGCTACGTTAAAACTGTAGAGACTAGAGAAAAATTGACCCATCGGGAATGTTAATTTTAATTGCGAAGAGGCGAGTAACTGTGTTAAAAATACTAACTTGTATTCAACGAAATACCACGATCGTTTTTCCTTTCAACAAAGATCGAAGATGAAATTTGCACGTAATAAAGCTTATTTAAAGCGAAATACAGAACAAGCGTGATTATTGTAAATATCGAAAGGCTGCGTTTTTAATAATTTATTGAAGTCAAATGTATCGAAGGATTGCGTGAGAAGAATCCTCGCATATCGTAATAAGTTGATATTAAAAGAAAATTTGTTAAATGTCAAGCATTGCCGTTATTGGACAATGATTCGTAATCAGCAGAAAGTCTACATGTACGATTATCTTATCGTTTTAATATTAACACGATTCCATAAAAATTTATATCATAGCTTAACATGTACATTTTCTGTTCACACAAATGCGAATGCGTTACAAGCTTTTCTTTACGTAGAAATTATTGACGGGTTCAGAAAGTTCCGTTTCTAAGAGAACATCGTATATTAATGATTCGAGTATACGTATATAACAAATAAAAAGGAATTTACATAAAACCTCGCATAATTTATTTCCTGTTTTCATTGTATAAATATTTACCCGATACTGCGTTCAAATTTTTAGTTTCGCAAATTCCGAAAATCACAAATTTCTTCGAATTCCTAAATTCTGAATCGTTTTATTTTTAATTAAATTTTTAAGAATTATTTTAATTTCAATGCTCGTTTAATAATTTATCAATATTAGGAAAGATATAATTTTCATTCAGCTTTTTACAAATTCATGAGATGCCTATTACGCTGTAGATAGTGAAAGGGGTGCAATAGAATTAAAAAAAGAAACTGGGTCATGCACGGTAGCCTACGTCTTTAGAAACAGGTTTCACGTTCAAACTGATCGTAGATTATAATAAGTTCTAGTATCTAGTTATTTTTTGTAATGAATGTAAAAACATTCATAACCGAGTCAAATATAATAATTGCGTCTATACAAATTTATTTCATTTATTTCTTCCTTTCAAAATTATAATTTGACTGTTTGATAAATACAATTTATGAAGATCATAATATTTTACGAGATATTTTGCAATATACACATGTATGTGTACATACATTATGTTTGAAACCTTCCATTTCTTATTTCGCTTCATTAAATTCATTTTTGAAGAATTGCCTTTTAATCCTCCGTTCCGTTTTAAACAAATACTAAAAACAGAGATTGCTTGCACACCACATTGTCAAATAAAATAAATAAGACAAAACATAAAGCATGGTACATTAACAATACATTTTCATGATTTTGCAAGTACTATTGCGTTTGAACGTAGCGTCCCTGTTACGTGTGCAGTTATCTTGCAACGCAATCGTAATCATTGTAATATCTCCATTATATGTAGATACCTGTATCCTTTTTTACCAACATTTTTCAATCAAACCCGAGTGATTGCTCGACTATTTTCGCAAACAGATCTTTCGATCCAACGCAAGATTAAACCATAAACTAGTATCAATATTCTAATCGTCAGATAAGATCGTCTAATAAAGACATTTTCAAGCGTTTATCGACCTATTTTGTTGTTTCGTGATTTATCGAATGATACTCGATGCGATGAAAACCTGCGATGGAAAAATGGTGTCGACGATGACAAAGCCAGCTGTGCGAAAGAAAAAATTGTTGGTGAGAAGCTTGTGATTATACAAACCGTTTAATTATGAGTCAGCTATATCTCGTTAATTACAAATCAGCATGCGAAGGAGAGTTTTACATTGGTGACGCACCATTTGCGTCATTGAAAAGTTTTGATATTAGCGTTGCAGTTATGGTAGGTGGAAATTTGAGAGAGAATATGGGAATTTAGGGATTTAGGGAATTTGAGGATTTAGAGAATTTTGGGAGTTTAGGGATTTAGTGATTTAGAGAATTTGGGGAATTTAGGGAGTTTTGGGAATTTAGAGAATTTGGGAAATTTAGGGAGTTTCGGGAATTTAGTGAATTTAGGGAATTTGAAGAATTTAGAGAATTTGGGGAATTTAGAGGGTTTTGGGAATTTAGGGAATTTAGAGAATTTGGGGATAGGTGGTTTTGGGAATTTAGGGAATTTGGGGATTTTGGGGATAGGTGGTTTTGGGAATTTAGGGAATTTGGGGAATTTAGGAAATTTAGGTGATTTGGGGCACACGAGAAATTAGGGAAAATTGGGGAATTTAGGGAATTAGAGGGTTGGAGATTAGAGGGTTCTGTGGAATTTAGGAATTTAGAGATTTTGGGATTTAGAAATTTAGGGATTTAGAGATTTAGAGAATTTGGGAAATTTAGCGATTTAGGGCTTTAAAAAATTTAGGGAATTTAGGAATTTAGAGAATTTGGACAATTTAGGGATTTAGGGGATTTAGAGAATTTAGGAAATTTAGGTATTTAAAGATTTAAAGAATTTTGAGAATTTGCATGGTTTATGTAATTGGAAAATTTAGGACTTCAAAAGCCGAGGAATTTGGATAATTGCATAATTTTGTATATTTTGGGATTTTGAGGAATTTTGAGGAATTCTATGGATTTTTAGTAATGCACATTTTTGGAATCTCCTTCCCAGAAGATTTGACGAATTTCACTTTCTGGAAGCTAAGGGTTTGACGAATTCCTGCGTTCAATTGTTATTTTGAAAATTCTATTTTCAAAAATAGAAAGTCTCTTTTAACCTATGAATGTTTAAAAGTTTTCGAGCAAGGAAAACTGCATATTACAGCGACCGCAATCCAACGGATCTAACGCGATCTCCGACAGCACAAGATGCGCCATTGTGATTAAAAAGTCTCTGGGAAAACGATACGATCAGCTCCCGTATATTATCCCAATTTCGTAAGGTCCCGGTAGAAAGTAGGAATTGCAACGCGAAACTATCGCAATCTGCGCGAATTGCGGTGCAGCGTATCAGATACTTTCTCTGCAACATTTATCGACGCGGTAGACAAAAGTCAGCGTCGCGTCTTCGGGGAGAGCGCGAGAAGAAATTAGCCGGTCGCCAATGGCGAAGATAATCGACGCGTTCGGTTCAATGCCGTTTGCAGAACATTGAATTCTGCTTTCAGGAGGAAAGGAGAGGGAGTAAGTCTCACCGTCGGTTATATAGCCAGCTACGAGAACTGTTCGTTTCAGTTCTGAACACTTCGGTCAGGATTTGTGCACTGTTGTTTCCCGCCATTTTTCGATGTCCTGAACGACTTTACTTCGACATTTAAAATCGTGAACATTTAAACAGCGGTAAGGAGCAGAAACCGGAAGTATGCTATCAGGGACGTGAAAGTCTACGAGGTGTTCTGAGGATGGTCCTTTGAGTAGCAAGGTTCCAGTAAAAATGTCGCCACAGAAGAAATTTGATGTACCTGTTGATCCGGAGGATGCACAGAAGGATTGTCGAAATGTGGAAACGCGTGTGTCTAAGAACGACAAGGAGGAAAGCATGGACTTAGATTTTGACGAGTTGTTGCCTTATGTTGGTGAATTTGGACTTTACCAGAAGATTCTGTTCTTGCTGATGATACCGTTTGCTTCTTTCGTCGCGTGGGTATACTTCTCGCAGATATTCATCACGATTGTACCGGATGGGTACTGGTGTTTGGTGCCGGAGCTGGAGAACCTCACTGTCGATGAAAGGTGCGTGATTTCTGTTGTAGCGTTTTGTCTTGCAAAGTGGAGAAGATATTTATTTACATATATAATATACATTACATACATTACATGATATATATATTACATACATTACATATGATACATACATTACATACATTACATATGTTACATACATTACATATGATACATACATTACATACATTACATACATTACATACATTACATACATTACATATGTTACATACATTACATACATAACATATATTACACACATGACATACATTGCATTCATTACATACATTACATACACTACATACATTACATACATTACATACATTACATACATTACATACATTACATACATTACATATGTTACATACATTACATACATAACATATATTACACACATGACATACATTGCATACATTACATACATTACACACATAACATACATTACATACACAACATATATTACACACATTACATACATTATGTACATTACATACATTACATACACAACATATATTACACACATTACATACATTATGTACATAACATACGTTACATACATTACATACCTCAACATATATTACATACATTACAGACCTTAACATATATTACATACATTACATACCTTAACATATATTACATACATAACATACATTACATATACAACATACATAGAAGACATAAGTGTCTTACCTGACATACAGTCATTAAATACCTTGGCAAACCTTTCTCATTATTTCGTAACATGAACTTCAATTAAACTTCATATTGTCTACACTCTTTTATCACTTCCATCACTTAGGTTTTGTCTGTTACTGCAAATAACCAGATACGATGGTTACTGAAGACTTGACAGATACTATAGAAACAACTAATAAACACACAAATAACAAATAAGGAAAATAAGTAGTGAAGCGTCTTCTAAACTGACCTAACATTCATTTGGCACAAAACGAGATAAATGTCAGAGTCTACATTTCGATATCTGCCAAGTTTCGTACCTAATAATACATTTGTAATACACTAGAACGACGATATTGATACAGTTCTATTAAACGAGGAAGTGTATCTAAATAGATGCTGTTCAGATATCATCTGAATTTACATATTTCGCTCATCGGAATATGACATAATAATCGTAGACATGTGGAAAGATAACCATTTAATGCGAATACTTGTTAGATCGGCGTGAATCATCGTTTTTCACAATGTTCGGAATCGGAACGGTGCTTATTATCGTGTAATTATCGATAGCTGGTCTAGAAACTTTCCAGTTGCTGGACGATCTTTTCGGGGATTAGAAGTGCTTATTTGCGAATTTATATGGGAATTTGGGGATGTAGGAATTTGGGGGTGTAGGAATTTGGGGGTATGGGAACTTGGAGATGTAGGAATTTGGGGATTTAGGGATTTGGGGATTTGGGAGTGTAAAAATTTAGGGGTGTAGGAATTTGGGGATTTAGGGATTTGGGAGTGTAGGAATTTGGGGATGTGGGAATTTGGGGATATGGGAATTTGGGGATGTGGGACTTTGGGGATGTAGGAATTTGGGGATTTGGGGATTTGGGAGTGTAGAAATTTAGGGGTGTAGGAATTTGGGGATATGGGAATTTGGGGATGTGGGAATTTGGGGATGTGGGAATTTGGGGATAAGGGAATTTGGGGATATGGGACTTTGGGGATGTAGGAATTTGGGGATTTGGGGATTTGGGAGTGTAGAAATTTAGGGGTGTAGGAATTTGGGGATATGGGAATTTGGGGATTTAGGGATTTTGGAGTGTAGGAATTTGGGGATGTGGGAATTTGGGGATATGGGAATCTAGGGATGTGAGAATTTGGGGATATGGGAATTTGGGGATATGGGAATTTGGGGACGTAGGAATTTGGGGATTTAGGGATTTAAGAGTGTAGGAATTTGGGGATATGGGAAATTGGGGATGTGGGAATTTGGGGATGTGGGAATTTGGGGATGTGGGAATTTGGGGATATAGAAATTTGGAAATATAGAAATCTAGGGATGTGAGAATTTGGGAATACAGAAATCTGGGGATATAGCAATTTGTGGACATAAGAATTTTGGGATATAGAAATCTGTAAATACAGAAATCTAGGGATATGAGAATTTGCAAACAGAGTAATCTGGTGGCATAGAAAACTGGGAATATAGGAATCTGGCGATATAGGAATCTAGGGACATAGATTTGCAAATACATAGATTTCTACATATACTAATCCACAAAAATAGAGATCCAAATCACAATTAACCATTTGAATCCTCAATTCCGTCTCCTCCTCAGTTCACTCTCCGCCATCTTGAAAGACCGAATATCTCACAAAGAACCACCTTCATTTCGCAATTATTAACAACGATCATTATCTACTTTAAATTGCAAAACACGTGTCGAACGTTGATGACGATCATTCATATCCTCTTTTCTCTCACTGAATGCATTACTAGATGTTCGCAATTCAATTCATTTTTTTGCATTTTCACAGTAACCACTTATGATCGATGATTTCTGTATGACTCATTTTGCTTTTGTTATTTGGCGAAGAAAGGCAGTTGTTTATTTTACCGAACTTCAGTTGTGTACATTATGAAAATTATAAACGCAGCGTGATAAAGTTGACTACTTTACTATGTGTTTGGTGCAGTATACATTTTATGGAAACTTACACAGCGCTTTTGCCAGCACCTTTCAACTCCTTTCTCCGATTGTAAATCTGTAACTTTCATTTATTATGTACATTTCGGCGACAGAACATTATTATGGAAATTGTCAAATAATACAAGTTGTAATTTTCTTTGCAAAGGAACTGTCATATACAATCATCCTTTCGAAGATATAAAGAAGAAGCGTAAAATTGCGAGTATCATAAATCTCGCAAAAATATGCAGTTATCAAAGAGTTAATCTACTGTCAACACGGGAAAAGTTGCATAAACAGATAAAGTTGCTTTTTGCTGTCTGTTGAGAATCCTTATCATTAACTACAGGTTGACGTCGATAAAAACATCCTTGAACCTTGTTTAGTGCGATTCTAGCGGGTACAATGCTTATCGTGCAAACTACCGAAGTTACACTTACGAATTCATATTGTTAAAATGAAATATTTTTTGGTTATGTTATAAGGTATATTTCTAGCTTTTAAGAACTTTATTTAAAATAACTACATGCTTTGAAACTCCAAGGGCTATAATTCCACGTGTTGTAATTCCACGCGTTATAATTCCACGCGTGGTAATTCCACGTGTAATAACTACACGCGTTCTAATTCCACGCATAGTAATTCCACGCGTTGGAATTCCACGCGTAATAGTTCCACGCGTTGGAATTCTAAGCGCTATAATTCCACGCGTGGTAATTCTACGCATTGGAATTCTAAACGCTATAATTTCACGCGTGGTAATTCCACGCGTGGTAATTCCACGCGTGGTAATTCCAAGCGTTGGAATTCTAAGCGCTGTAATTCCACGCGTGATAATTCTAAGCGCTATAATTCCATGCATGGTAATTCCATGCGTTGGAATTCTAAGCGCTATAATTCCACGCGTGGTATTTCAACGCGTGGTAATTCCATGCGTTGGAATTCTAAGCGCTATAATTCCACGCGTGGTATTTCTATGTGTGGTAATTCCACGCGTGGTATTTCTATGCGTGGTAATTCCACGCGTTGGAATTCCACGTATTGTAATTCCACGCGTGATAATTCCACGCGTAATAATTCCGCGCGGTAATAATTTCACGCGTAATAACTCCATGCGTTGGAATTCTAAGCGCTATAATTCCACGTGTCGTAATTCCAAGCGTGATAATTCCGTGCGTTCAAATTCCACGCGTTATTCATAAAATTTGTAATTTTCGAAATTATAGATTTTACGAATTTATAGGTCAGTAATTTTGCAAAATAATAATTGACAAATCAGTGGTTTCAATTAGTAATCGAATAACAAGGTAATAATTGATAACAAGATAATAAATAATTTTCAGTAATCTCAGAATCAGTAATTCTATAATTTACAAGCTAATGACACCACACATTAGTAACATACAAACCACTGTTAATACATACAAATAATTTGCAGCCTAGTCATTTCACAAATCAGTAATGTACAAATTAGTGATTTTACCACGCACATTAACTCTTAAACACAATTTCCTTAATAACCACCAGCTAGGCACAAGTAAAAACGCACATAAAATCACAAAACATGCGAACAAACTTCGAATGCCTTTCTCATATCTCCATATGACACAATCAATTTGACACAACAAATTTTGTACCGTGTCATCAATTCATCGAATATTTTTTCTTTCAATTATCGTGTGATATTAACCGAGGTACATTATTCAAGATTACTCCTGCACTCCTTAATTTTACTTAATAATTTAATTTATAAAATAGATTAAAAAAGGGGTTCTCAATAAAATGTATTATAACATAGTTGTATTGCAACAAATTTTTCATTTATTATAAATAGTAACTAAATTAAAATATACATCTTTAACCATTTATCTGTTTATTTCATTTAAATCTTTTATTCTATTATTTATAAGACACAAGAGAAATGTAATGTCGAGCCACACGTGACATATGTATGTAAAGGATTAAAGAAAAAAAAAAAAAAAAAATACTGATCGAATTGAGTAACCTCCTCCTTTTTCGAAGTCGGTAAAAAAAGAATCATATGATTATAATTCAAGTAAAATCATTATACGAAAAATAATTTTAATTTTCAACAAGCATACAGAAGTACATTAGTCCCATTCGAAGTTTCCATGAAACTCTACTCTCCTATCGGACATTCTCCTCGAGAATGGTTTCTCAACGCAAAACCGTTCTTGGATTTCACGATGTATTTCCTATTGAAACCTTCCAGTAGATTGTGCCTGCTTCTGGTCAGACTGTCTCTAAAAAGGCACAGTGTATTAGCGAAAACACGCGGTGACGAAACACTCGGAGGTGTAACTAGATTGCACTTCGGTTACGGTATAAGAATTACAGAGGTAAAGTTACAGCGTTTTATTATTCAAATAACACAATTCCTTGGGTAACGACTGATTAATGTACTCGGAGATTAATAGCCTGCACTGCATGCATAATACTCGAATCGATGTGCTTTTCAATTTATTAACTGTGTTGCAATTCTATGTTCGTGTGTTGCAATTTCGCGCTTATTAATTGGTATAATTGCTCGCGGTGGAATTTTATATGTTGTAATTTCACGTGTTATAATTCCACGCGTGGTATTTTTACGCGTGGTAATTCTACGCGTTGGAATTCTAAGTGTTGGAATTCTAAGCGTTGTAATTCCACGCGTGGTAATTCCATGCGTTGGAATTCTAAGCGCTATAATTCCACGCGTGGTATTTCTACGCGTTGGAATCCTAAGCGTTGTAATTCCACGCGTGGTAATTCCACGCATGGTAATTCCATGCGTTGGAATTCCACGCGTGGTAATTCCATGCGTTGGAATTCTAAGCGCTATAATTCCACGCGTGGTAATTCCATGCGTTGGAATTCTAAGCGCTATAATTCCACGCGTGGTAATTCCATGCGTTGGAATTCTAAGCGCTATAATTCCACGCGTGGTAATTCCATGCGTTGGAATTCTAAGCGCTATAATTCCACGCGTGGTAATTCCATGCGTTGGAATTCTAAGCGCTATAATTCCACGCGTGGTAATTCCATGCGTTGGAATTCTAAGCGCTATAATTCCACGCGTGGTAATTCCATGCGTTGGAATTCTAAGCGCTATAATTCCACGCGTGGTAATTCCATGCGTTGGAATTCTAAGCGCTATAATTCCACGCGTGATAATTCTACGCGTGGTAATTCCATGCGTTGGAATTCTAAGCGCTACAATTCCACACCTGGTAATTCCATGCGTTGGAATTCTAAGCGTTGTAATTCCACGAATTAAGAATCTAAGCGTAATAATTCTACATGTCAGTATTTCACGCATTACAATTCCACGTAATAGAATTTGAACATTCCCATTTAATGAAGACTCAATAAAATAATAATTAGATGCAAAAATGTTGATCGGCGCATTGTAAAAATTCATTTTGTACCGAAGTTCTTTGTACAGCAGGTGTTGTTTGCTGTTCGAATATTTAGCAGGAAATGCGCAACGTTTCACGTGGAACCTTCGTGAAAATAATGAGAGCGTGAACACGTTGCGTTTAAAAATGACGTTGTGCGCTAACATTTGGTTTGAAATTATTGATTACGTGCGAAGGATATGGTGGAAATGATAGCTATGGGACGCTTGCTCGTTGAAATGCGATAAGAGTAGTATTAATTAGCGCTAAGCGAGTTCTGCCAATGAATGTTTAAGGTACAAACAAAAAATTACGTAAAATTGCATACAAATGCAATTCATATTTTCCAAAATTGTATACATATAAATTGCAGTTTATATTGTTTTTAGATTATATATATAAAGTGCAGCTTATACTAAAAGTTGCATACAAATGCATTTCATATTTTCCAAAATTGTATACATATAAATTGCCATTTACACTGTTTTTAAATTACATATATAAATTGCAATTTACACGAAAACTTGCATATATGCAGTGCATTATATTTAAAAATTGCAAACGTGAAGTGCATCTCATGTTTATTAAAACTGCATAAACTTGTACTTTGCATTTCCTAAAATGTGAAGTATATTTCACACTTGAAGTCCTAAATACGAATTGTATTTCACATCTCTCAAAATCGCACACGCGCAATTGCTCACAGCATTGACCTTCACAACACACACGAAGGTCATTGAAATCAGAAGCATATAAACTACTCTACCTAATCAACGATCTTTTTTACGTGGTTCAAAAATGTTACAAAGGGAACGAAAGAGCTTCTGTTTCTTGGAGTTATCACATTTTTACAAAACCTTGTCACGGTGAGTTCAGGATGAAAAATGCATCGTACGCGTGCATAATGCAATCCATCGTTGCTCGTTCACTCCTCATGCAAAGGTCAGACGATGCACGCGATTAATCGCCACGGTATAAGAACTCGATTTGATAACATCGTTCTGCTGCGAATATTCTTCTTTTTCTCGAACAATTCTTCCGGCAACGTCAATCATCGCGTCACTTTGACAATCACCAAAAATTTTGGCTTATTCATCACGGCAACTGAAATGAGCTGTCGTCATAAAAAACTATTCGACTGAATTAAACAACCAGTATTATTTAACATTTTCGCAAGAAACAAACCGTCGAAGAAATAAAACAGCGTCATTAAAAAAATTGCCTTTAAATATTTTGTTAGAAATGCAACAAATATGTTGCTATTCACTTTTCTTAATTACTATCAGTTTGTATTTTTCGTACAAATGCATTGCGATCTTCCACACGATCTAAATACAGTACACTCTCGTTATATTGCCGGTATACAATATACAACGTGTAGTTCGTCACACGAGCAGAGTTTTTCAGAAACGATAAGACTTGTCATAAAATTAATTTCAATAACTGCAACTTTGTTTCGTAATGGTTGAACTTACGGCAATATAACGAGAGTCTACTATAAAAACTAGTAGACTAGTTAGTCGATAACTGAAGTCGACCTTGAAAGTCAATATAAAAGTTATTAAAGCAAAATGAAATGTAACTCTTTACATATCTTTTTTTCTAGATTATCACTGGCTATACCGTTCGGTAGTAATGGTTATTCGAAATGTAGTATGTACGATGTAAATTACACGGAGATCTTGTTAAATGGAGGCCGCTCACCGGATCCAACCTGGCCAACTAAATCCTGTCAGCACGGTTGGGAATTCAATTACACCGACGTCCCTTACGCCTCCGTAGCGAGCGAGGTTCGTTTTATAAATTATTTATCGCGTGGCTCGTGTGTGGATCGTTAATCAACTTCTTATCAATTAAAAGCTAAATATGTGCAGCTTTGCGTAATGGACCGGGAGGTGATATAGTGGACATTTGGGTATATGGGTAGTTGGGGTGTTCGGGGAATTAGGGATATGGAGATTTGAGGATTTTGGGGATTTTGGGAATTTTAGGAATTTTGGGGATGTTGGGAATTTTGGAAATTTTGGAAATTTTAGGGAGGTTGGAGAATTAGAGATTTGGAGGATTTGGGGAATTGGGGATTTGGATGAGGCAGAGATTTTGAGAGTTTGAGGAATTAGAGATTTGGAGATTTGAGGAGTTTGGGGAATTTGGAGATTTGGGGACTTGAGGATTTGGGGATTTGAGGAGCTAGAAGTTTGATAATTTGGAAATTTGCAAATTTGGATATTTGAGAATTTGGGGATTTGGGGAGTTGGACATTTGGAAATTTGGAAATTTGAGAGTTTGGGATTTGAGGAGTTGGACATTTGGAAATTTGGAAATTTGAGAGTTTGGGATTTGAGGAGTTGGACATTTGGAAGTTTGGGGATTTGAGGAATTGGACATTTGGAAATTTGGATATTTGAGAATTTGGGGATTCGAGGAGTTGGACATTTGGAAATTTGGAAATTTGATAATTTGGAAATTTGCAAATTTGGATATTTGGAAGTTTGGGGATTTGACGAGTTGGAAATTTGCAAATTTGAAAATTTGAGAATTTGGGGATTCGAGGAGTTGAACATTTGGAAATTTGGATATCTGAGAATTTGGGGATTCGAAGAGTTGAACATTTGGAAATTTGGAAATCTGAGAATTTGGGGATTCGAAGAGTTGAACATTTGGAAATTTGGAAATCTGAGAATTTGGGGATTCGAAGAGTTGAACATTTGGAAATTTGGAAATTTGAGAGTTTGGAGATTCGAGGAGTAGGCCATTTAGAAATTTGTCTATTTGAGAATTTGGGCCTGTAGAAATCACTAAATTTGAAATGTTATAATTTCACGAGTTCCCACTCTGAAGATTTATAAATTGTGAAATTGTGAAATTTGAAATTTGTAAATTTAACGATTTGGAAATTTGCAAATTTAGAAACTTGAAACCCTCTTGAAAATTCTCAAAATCTATCTCCTCATCAAAGAACCCCTTTAAAGTGATTCTTTGTTGCAGTTAGGATGGGTATGCGAGTACGATTCGTTGCCAACCATAGCCCAAAGCATCTTCTTCATCGGCGCCATCTTCGGAGGATTGATCTTTGGATGGATAGCCGATCAATATGGCAGAATACCTGCATTGATCGGCGCAAATCTTACAGGATTTGTAGCAGGAGTTGCTACTGCATTTAGTAATAACTTTTGGCAATTCACATTATGCCGTTTCTTTGTTGGATTCGCTTTCGACAATTGCTTCACCATGATGTACATATTAGGTAACTATCTTTTAACTCTTTTGCTTCTTTCATTTTTGTTAATTTATAAAAACACATTCTTTCAGTGTCAAGATTTTTGTGTTACAAATTTCTTATTTTTCTTGGTAGTATTTTTAAAAAATGTGTATGGCATGTGCATGATTTTTTAGTTACTTTGAAGGGGGATGTTAGGTACCTGTCTTCCTGACGGCCATTTTGTTTACGTTAGTATTTGTTTTGAACTTTCATGTTCTAAAATTACAAAATATATAGAATTATCAAATTTAATAATTTAACAAAAAATACGTACAAGGTGTACATATTTTTTTACTACTTTTGATTATGTAACAAGAAGTATATATAGGGTGTGCATTATTTTTTTGCTACTTTTGATAATTTGACAGAAAGTGTATAGAAGCTGTGCATGATTCATGAACTACTTTTAATGATTTAATGACAAGTATATTATATAGGGTGTGCATTATTTTTCAACCATTTTTGATAATTTAACAAAAAGTATATATAGGGTGTGCATTATTTTTCAATTAGCTTTAATAATTTAACTAAAAGTATATTATACAGGGTGTGCATGATTTTTCAACCACTTTTGATAATTTAACAAAAAGTATATATAGGGGTGTGCATTATTTTTCAACCACTTCTGATAATGTAATAAAAAGTATATATAGGGGAGTGCATTATTTTTCAACCACTTTTAATAATTTAACAAAAAGTATATATAGGGTGTGCATGATTATTCAACCACTTCTGATAATGTAATAAAAAGTATATCATATAGGATGTGCATTATTTTTCAACCACTTTTAATAATTTAACAAAAAGTATATATAGGGTGTGCATGATTATTCAACCACTTCTGATAATGTAATAAAAAGTATATCATATAGGATGTGCATTATTTTTCAACCACTTTTGATAATTTAACAAAAAGTATATGTAGGGTGTCCATGATTTTTCAACCACTTTTGATAATTCAAAAAAAAAGTTCACTTTCACTTTCAAATAACAGTTCCACAGTCTCTTTCCAAATACAACTATCACTCGAAATAATCAACAAATGCCTCTCACCAAACTATCAAGATCACCTTGACTTTCTATCTAAATGACTCACAGTATTTATAATTTCGTGCACAAAAATTGTCCTAATTCCTTTCATACCTGACATCAAAAGGAGTTCAATGTCTCACAACCGCACTCAATTGATCTTGAATTTAGAAAATCGAACTGCATGGTAAATTTTCATTTATCCCACACGTTGTGTTATGTGATTACATCAAAATTGCGATGTTGATCTTTGCCGACCCCCATGATAGTGAACGTGTTAAACAGGACATTCTATTCGTTCAACGACACGTTGTTGCGTGTTTTCTTTATTATAGTGGTTGTCGAGCCGACAGCATTCCTGTCGTGAAAATCGAGTCAACCGTGACTTAAGTCAACCGTGAGTTGAGTCGAGGTTGGAAAAATTCACGGCGGACCCAAGTTACTGCATTGTTCAAAACTAGGCCAAGTTGACCAGATTCGTGCACCGGTACTGTGATCTTGTTTCCCAATTGCGAAGGTCTTTGTCGTTCTACAGTATGGTCTATAGCATGGCCAAACCTTACAGATTTATTTGTAGTATTTGATGTACTTCTGATGGAGGTGCTGTAGAATGAAAGTGAAGGAGAAAAGTGAAAATTGGAGACTTGTGGACGTGTAGACGGAGATAGAGTTGGATATTTATAGACTTGAAGATTTATAGACTTGGAGACTTTTAGACTTGTAGATTTTTAGACTTGCAGACTTGTAGACTTGGAGATTTATAGACTTGTAGACTTGTAGACTTGTAGACTTGGAGATTTATAGACTTGGAGATTTGTAGACTTGTAGACTTGGACATTTATAGATTTGTAGACTTTTAGACTTGTAGACTTTTAGACTTGTAGACTTGTAGACTTTTAGACTTGTAGACTTTTAGACTTGTAGACTTGTAAACTTGTAGACTTGTAGACTTGTAGACTTGTAGACTTTTAGACTTGTAGACTTTTAGATTTGTAGACTTGGAGATTTGTAGACTTTTAAACTTGTAGACTTTTAGACTTGTAGACCTCCAAATCCCAAAATCTCCAAATTTCCAAAGCCTCACAACCCCAAATCTCTGAATTCCTAAATTTCACAAATCTCCGAAGTTCTAAGTCCATAAATACCTAAATCTGCACATCTCCAAAACCCTAAATCCCTAATTTCCCAAATCTCTAAATTTTCAAATCCCTAAGTTCCTAAATCCCCCAATTCCCCAAATTTCCAAATCCCCAAATGTCCGAATCTCCAAGTCCCCAAATCCCTAAATCCCTAAATCTCTAAATCTCCAAATCCCCAAATCCCCAAATCCCCAAATCCCCAAATCCCCAAATTCCCAAATTCCCAAATTTCCGAATCTCCATATACCTAAATCCCTAAATCTCTAAATCCCCAAATCCCTAAATTCCTAAATCCCCAAATCCCCAAATCCCTAAATCCCCATGCCCCCATGTCCCCAAATCCCCAAATCCCCAAATTTCCAAATCCGCAAATCCCTAAATTTCTGAATCTCCAAATCTCCAAATCCCTAAATCCCCAAATTCCCAAATCCCTAAATCCCCAAATTCTCAAATCCCAAAATCCCTAAATCCCCAAATCCCCAAATCCTCCAATCCCCAAATCCTCCAATCCCCAAATCCCCAAATTCTCAAATCCCAAAATCCCTAAATCCCCAAATCCTCCAATCCCCAAATCCCTAATCCCCCAACCCTCTAAATCTATAAATCCCCAAATCTATAAATCTCCAAAACCCCAAATCCCTAGTCCCCCAAATCTCCAAATCCCTAAATCCCCCAAATTCCCAAATCTCCAAATCTCCAAATCTACAAATCTCCAAAACCCCAAATCCCCCAAATCCAACCCCTACAAAACGAATCAACTATACAAAGTCTCTTCCGTTTAAAAACCGAACGATTTATGATTGCGTGTCACGAATTATAAGAGAAAAAAGGAAGTGGACGTTAATTCGTTTCAAAATGGTTGTCAAGGACCCAGCATTTAACGCGTGTCCAACGATCAAACGCCTGTTGAACACGCAACGAGCAGACAAGATCGTAATTACATACATATTATTATTATTCCCGATACTGTTGTCTTATCGGTGTATCATGGCCATCGTTGCAGACGACGAGAAATTATCTCCTATCCGTGATGAACGATAGAAATACTTTAGTGAAAAGTGATTGCTTCGAAGTTGAAGGCAATAAACCTTGATTCAACGAGTGATGAAACGAACTGAGAAAATGTTTCCCGTTTTCTCTTTGCAGCAAATGTTTTGCAACCATTTTTGCTGGACACGATGACTGCAAAAACGTGTACTTTAAAACAAATTATTAATTCTTTATTTTTTGGATTAAACTCTTTTTATGGTATTTGAGGATTGTTGTAGTTATTGCGAGGTTGTAGTTTTGCAAGAAAGCGATGAATGCAGTTTTGTAAGAAATTATTAATTCTTTATTTTTAAGGTTAATCTCATTTTAAGAAATGTGAAGATTGCTGTAGTTATTGCAAGGTTGTTGTAGTTTTGTAAGAAAGTGATGAATGTAGTTCTGTAACAAATTATTAGTCCAATTAGTACTTATTTTAGTACAGTTATTGAATTTTTAAACCTACAAGGAACTCACGTATCCGTGAACAGCCATTTGCAATTTCAAAAATAAATCAGTCACCTGCAAAGGTGTTAACAATAAAGTTACAGCGACGGTAGAACGTTTCCACAGATTTCTATCTGTCCGTGGCTATTAAACACGTGCACCCGGTGCATTAAATATATGGTCAAGAATCTGTCGCTCTGTTTCAGCCACAGAATGCAGCGACAAGAACGTGGAAATGTTACAATGCATACTCGAGGAACATTTACAAATTTGAGCGTTTAGCGGAGACTCGGGAATTGTTCACGGAGATCTGCGACGTTCTGAAATATTTTGTTTTTCTTTCGCGTTGCTAATTTTCTTTCGTGAGGCAGAGGCGTCGGAACTTGCTGTTAATTATCGTGTTCGTGAAATTACTGTAGCTGTGAAGTGTAATTTATTTTTAAGTCTTGTGTTCTTTTGTTTTAGCAAAACTTCTGAATTTTCAGCATTTTTTAACTTTAATATTTTTTAATATTAAGTTTGTAATATGTAGTTTTAGAGTTTTTAACGAGGAGATGTATTTCGTTTTTAAAATTATTTCTAAGATACACAGTTTATTTTATATTAATAATATATGAATTTTTTTTATTTTCAACTGGGAGATGTATTTTGAAATAATTTTTTGTTCTTAAACTTTTATCTAAACTACACAGTTTAAGTGCAATAATATACACAATTTTTAATTTCCACTTAAAAAATATATTTAGAAATAATTTTTCGTACTTGAATTTGTCCCAAGATTTTCAATGATATTTAATACACAAAATCGAAATAAATTCAACTAATTAAGAAACGTCAGCGTAACGCCAATTACCCGATTATGCAACGGTTGTTCAACTGGAAATAGTTGATATGTGGAAATCCATTGCCAACGAATTACGTCTATTCGTGCATGTCGGGAAATAGGAGCAATTGCGTTTAATGAAGAGACAACGTTACTCATTTAACAGAGCTTCTTTTTCTTTTTTTCTACTAATCAGCAATCACCCTTAATTAGCTGTAAGTGCAGGCTTAACTACGATCGTTGGTTGCTTCTCCAAATTGCGTTACTTCACTCATGCTTCGAATTAACGAAATTATCTTGTTGGAATTATAGAAAGTGCACCGAAACTGTTTGATAAATACTTATCAATTTTACACAATATTTTGATATATACATTATTTCATAAAATATTTTTATACAATTTTTATGAATTTTTTAGTGTGAGACTTCTCGTATTAATTTTTCTTTATTTAGTAATTTTTTATTTAATTTTTTAATTCGTTCTTCAGATATTAATTTTGTTCTTATTCGATTTTTAATTTATTCTTCTTTTATTAAATTATTTTTATTAATTCTTTTATTTTATTCTCCGGCTATTCATTTTATTCTTATTTATTTTTCAATTCATTCTTCGTCTATTAATTTTTCTAATCAGTTCTTTATTCATTCTTTAATTTATTCTTCATCTACTAATTTTTTTATTAACTCTTTATATATTTATTCTGTAATTCATTCTTCATATATTAATTTTCTGACAAATTCTTCGTCTATTAATTATCTGACAAATTCTTCGTTTATTAATTTTTGAATTAATTTTTCTCCATTTCAGTATTAGAGTACGTGGGACCAAAATGGCGGACCTTCGTCGCAAACATGTCGATCGCCATATTCTTCACGTTCGCCGCCTGCATTCTTCCTTGGATCGCCTACTATTTGGCCGATTGGAGAATGACCTGCATCGCCACATCTGTTCCTCTCGTTTTATCAGTAGCAGCACCGTGGTTGATCCCAGAGAGTGCTCGATGGTTAGTCAGCCAGGGACAAATAGATAGAGCCATCAACATCCTCAACAAATTCGAAAAAATGAACGGCACTAAAGTGCCTGACAACGTCTACAAACGCTTTCGGGTAAATAAGCTCAATTTATACAATATACTTAAAGTATCTTATGTTTCTCTTCGCATAATGCAAGACATTAAGGAATGGCTGTACAATGCATAGAACTAGTTGTTAATTCTTTGAAATTTTACCTGGAGATTGATAACTAGTTTAATTCTAGAACTAATTAATTAAGAATTAATTAATAAAGTTAATCATTAATAGACTAACTGTGTCAATTAGTTGTTTATTTTATTTATTTTATAATTTGTAATTACTGATATTAAAATGTATGTAACATGTGAGTATACATGTACATGTGTGTGTGTGTGTGTTACAACATATGTGATGTATATGAAATACATCACATGAACAATATTTGCTTGTTTATAATAAAATATTTATAGCCAATCTATAAACAATATTTGCTTTATTAAGAAAGTCATAATGATCAGATTAATGAAATTGAATTTCTGATACAATAGGACACCTGTGAGAGGATATGCAAGGAAGAGGAAGCGGACAAAACCTACTCTGTGTTCGATCTATTCAGAAGTCCACGATTGAGAAGAATTACTATTCTGTTCATCGTCATGTGGTACATATTATTATATTATTTATTTATAAATCAATTACAAATTGCAAAACAAAAGATTAATTAATAAAATTCGTATAAAGAAAAGAAAAGAAAAGTACACTCACATATAACAAAGTACTCTTCTACTTTTCTCTATATTTTATTACACTGACAGTTTATACTTTGATTTCATAAAAAATTCTTTCATTATCATAAATGAATGATAACATAAATGAATGATCCACATTACGTTATTTATCTAAAAATTTCTCCACGTGTCCTTACACGAACAAATTCCTCTTTCATATCAAGTTATAACATTCTTCATCCACAAACAATGTAATCCTCATAAACAAAGCGTGACTTCTGATCGTATAAAATTTCTTTGTGTACCCAGGATGGCGATTTCTTTGGTGTTCGACGGTCACGTACGAAACGTCGATAACTTAGGTTTGAACGTGTTCATGACTTTTACCATCGCAGCAGCCACCGAGCTTCCTGCAGATACTTTCCTCACGATTGTCCTTGATCGATGGGGTCGAAGATGGCTGGCTTGTGGATCTCTCGTTATTTCTGGAATTTTCAGTATTTGGGCTTCTACTGTTTCCAACAGTTAGTAGTTTTTATCTTCTTGTTGGTGGAGAATGAAATTTTCAGACGAATATGAATTTCAAATTTATGATAGATTGAATTCTTGTATTTTTAGATTTGTAAGGTCAAATTGTTCAGGAGATAGAGCTTCAAATTTTAAATTTCAAAATTTGTAAATTTCTGAATCTCCTAACTTTTCAAAATCCTAAAACAAAATTTTACAAGTTTTAAATTCTCAAATTTAAAAATTGCTAAATAACTAAATTTACACTTTCTGAATCTCAAAATTTCCAAATTCCTAAATCCTCAAATTTGCACTTTTGAAATTCCTAAATCCCCAAATTCTCACTTTTCAAATTCCCAAATCCCCAAATTCTCACTCTCCCAATCCCAAAATTCCCAAATTTCCAAATCTCCAAATTCTCATTTTTCCAAATCCTTAAATTCCCAAATTTCCAAATCCCTAAATTCTCATTTTTCCAAATCCCAAAATTTCCAAATTCCTAAATCCCCAAATTCTCACTCTTCAAATTCCAAAATTTCAAAATTCTCACTCTACCAATCCCAAAATTCCCAAATTTCCAAATCCCCAAATTCTCATTTTTCCAAATCCTTAAATTCCCAAATTTCCAAATCCCTAAATTCTCATTTTTCCAAATCCCAAAATTTCCAAATTCCTAAATCCCCAAATTCTCACTCTTCAAATTCAAAAATTTCAAAATTCCCAAATCCCCAAATTCTCACTCTTTAAATTCCAAAATTTCAAAATTCCCAAATCTCCAAATTCCCACTCTCCCAATCCCAAAATTCCCAAATTTCCAAATCCCCAAATTCTCATTTTTCCAAATCCCTAAATTCCCAAATTTGCAAATCCCCAAATTCTCACTTTCCAAATCCCAAAATTTCAAAATTCCCAAATCCCCAAATTCTCACTTTCCCAATCCCTAAACCCTCAAATTTCCAAATCCCCAAATTTTCACTCACTCAATTCCTAAATCCCCAAATTCCCTCATCCCCAAATTTCAAAATATCCAAATCCAAATCTCCAAAAATTTCTCAAGCCCCAAATTCTCAAACTTCCAAATTCCCTCATCCCCCAACTTCCAAAATTCTCTCATCCCCAAATCCCCAATTCTCCATCTTCCAAATTTCCACGTCCTCTACCCACTCATCCCTAACCTCATCTCCCAACCAAACTACTCATCACACATTCACGCACTCAAAAATAAATAATTAATACTAAAAATCATCTCCTTCTTTTGCAGATATATACATGGCGACCCTGGCAATCCTAGGTCGTTTCTGGATAAACATTTCCTACAACATCGGCCTTCAATACGCAGCCGAAGTGTTGCCAACAGTAGTTAGAGCTCAGGGTGTTGCCCTGATCCACATAATGGGATACGTAGCAAGTATTCTGGCGCCCTTCGTGGTGTATCTCGACGTCGTGTCATCGATTCTACCGCTTATGGTGTTGGGTATCCTTGGTATACTGAGTGGATTTATCACTTTGTTTCTACCTGAAACGCTGGACAAGGATTTACCTCAAACCCTTCAGGATGGGGAGAACTTTGGGAAGGATCAGAAACTGTGGGATGCTCCTTGCATCAGCAAGTAAGATAACAATTAATTGGAACTGGAAAAGTTGTATGAAATTTCATTGATTAGGGTAGAAGTTAGGTATAAATTGAGAGATAGGAAAAGTTAGATAGTTAGGTGATTTAATAGTAAACCTATATGCTTTTTATTTTCAATTAAAAATGAATAAACAAGTGACTAAACATAAAATGGTGCATTCGTTAATTGTTTACTTTGATGAAAATCAACAAAGATATGAAGAAAAGTATTTTAACAAAATGTGTAACAAACTTGTGGAACTTATTTGACTGTTTTGATAGGTTTGTTAAGTTAGATAAAAATGAATGAACCAAGGTAGGTAAAATTATGCAGAAATTAATTCAGACAAAAATTAGTTGACTCAAATAGTAAATATTATACAAAATTTATTTACAGATATTTATCTTATGAATTAAATACAGATAAGAGTGAAATAAAAATTAGGTTGAGACAGGAGAAGTTAGATGAAAATTACTTGACTCAGATACAAGAAAAATTAAATAAAAGTTAATTGACTCAAGTGCAAAAAGTATTTTGAGATAAGAAAAGTTACATAAAACTCGGATAAGAAAAGTGAGATAAAAGTTGATTCAGCTAGTTACATAAAAATTAATTGATATAAGATAAAATAAATTACAGGAATGTTAATCTATTTGTAAAAGGATAATTTTCGAACTTGAAGAAAATTCTATAGTTGAAGTTTGAATTGTACAGCGAGGTCTTTAAGTTGAAATGAAATAGAAATAAGTCTTTCAAGTTGAAATTAATTAATTTTGTAATTTCAGGAAACACGAAGATGAAGAGGTCCCACCAGCCATATTCAGATCCATATCTCGAGACAGCGTGAGGAACTCGATGAGAGCCTCCCTTCGTGGTGAACCCTTGAGGAGCAGCATGATACGAAGATCCAGCGTGAGATCGAGGAAAAACGGAAATTCGGTCGTCGAGGTGGAGAAATTCTAGCGAACTTCTGTAAAATCTGTCGAGTTGATCTCGGTCGTAGGATCCTCATAGTTTTTCAAACAAGGGTTGTGTCAGCGTTCGCCAGTTATTTGTTATACGATTGTTATTTACTTGTCCAAATTTGTCTTGAAGACAAAAGGGTAGAGGTACCAAAGTGTCAAACTGTAAAATTTGAGAATCTACAAAATCTCAAGTTCTTAAATTCTTAAATAGAATTCTAAAGTGCCTGGGTCTCCATGTACCAAACTTCTGAAAGTCTAAATCCTCAAAACCTGAAATCCTAAGTCTTCAAATCATCAAATTCCTGAAATGTCCAAATCTCAAGCCCCTAAGTCTCCATATTCCTGAATTTTTAAACCCCTTAATCTCTAAATGGCAAATATCTAAATTTTCCAAACTTCAAACCCCTAAATCCTCAACTCTCCAAATTCTATAACCTCTAGGACTTCAAATGCTAACTTTGGACAATGTCAACCTTCTAAATTCCCAAATTCCCTCATTCTGACCTCCCTAGATCAAAGTGCATCTGCCCAAGTTAAATTTGAACTTCACAAAGTTCCAAAACTGTAAAGTTAAAAAATGTTGTAATAAATAATAAATAATAGTTTAACTGCAGAAATTGAAATAATTTGTCGAACGCTGGCGATACTCCATGATTTGTGTACATATGTACCTATAAAAATGCCTAGATCGAAGCTAAAGTCACTGTAAGAGCCTCGAACATGGCGTTCGAGGAAGCGGTGCTACTGACATTTATTTCACCGTGTAACACTCTTAAGCAACTAGTAATAAGATCGTTGGATTTCCTCTGAAAAATCTTTCCAACACCTGTTTTCTATCGACTCGAATAATCGATATTATGAATAGGGATGAGGATCATCTTCTTACTGGTATAAATTGACGATGTATTCGTCTACGTTTCTGTTTTCATATGTATATATTTTAATAGTGTCTCGTGGATCATTGATAAAATGATTCGAACCCTTTCGTTGCTGATAGTGTACATGTGTATACTATACATATACTATTATGTTCTAGAGTTCAAATACACTATTATTTTTGTAATTGTTCAGATTTATGAAAATATCATTTTTTGATTTTGCAGAGAAAATTTGATAGAGTATGATAAGTTTGCTGTATATTATGTTCGTATGCACGCGTGATAATTCCACGCGTGGTAATTCTACGCGGTCTAATTTTACGCGTGATAACTCCACACGTTGTAATTCCACGCGTTATAATTCCATGCGTAATAATTCCACGCGTTGGAATTCTAAGCGCTATAATTTCACGCGTAGTAATTCTACGCGTGGTAATTCCACGCGTTGGAATTCTAAGCGCTATAATTCCACGCGTGGTAATTCTACGCGTGGTAATTCCACGCCTGGTATTTCTAAGCGTTATAATTTCACGCGTGGTATTTCTACGCGTGGTAATTCCACGCGTTGGAATTCTAAGCGCTATAATTCCACGCGTGGTAATTCTACGCGTGGTAATTCCATGCGTTGGAATTCTAAACGCTATAATTCAACGTGTGTTAATTCTACGCGTGGTAATTCCATGCGTTGGAATTCTAAGCGCTATAATTCCACGCGTGGTAATTCTACGCGTGGTAATTCCACGCGTTGGAATTCTAAGCGCTATAATTCCACGCGTGGTAATTCTACGCGTGGTAATTCCACGCGTTGGAATTCTAAGCGCTATAATTCCACGCGTGGTAATTCTACGCGTGGTAATTCCACGCGTTGGAATTGTAAGCGCTATAATTCTACGCGTGGTAATTCCATACGTTGGAATTGTAAGCGCTGTAATTCCACGCGTTGTAATTCCACGCGTTGGAGTTCTAAGCATTGTAATTTCACGCGTTGGAATTCTAAATCGGCGACGTATGGTACATGTTTAAAATTCAAGACCTACAAGTTTCCACTTATGTCTTGTCAAACTATTTTTAAGTTTTTAAAAAATTCAGCTATTCTGAATGAAAGCATGAAAGTACTCTTATGTATTCGCAGTATTACATTGTACAGGATGTTAGCAAATCTTTTACTCGAAAGTAACTATCAAATTCCCTGTAACTCTTTTGCAGTATTTGAAGTAAATTTCTGTAATTTAGTACCTGTATTTGATGATGAAGAAAATTAAATTTTGACTGTGAATGTAAATAATTTATCTGAGCAGTATTATTCCAAATCAGTACTTCATTGAATTATTCCAAAGGAAGTTATAATTTTAAAAAGAAATGATGTGTAATAACTACTGTAAAATTATTAATATAATTTTTAATACAATTTCTGTAAAATTATTTAGAATATCATGTATCATTTTTAATACCACCGTTGACAGATAGTGTTAAGGTAATCGTAAGAATTTTCAATAAATTATATATACTACCAAGTTTACGTAACGTTCATTTATCAAACCTGTCGTCCATCTTTCAACCTGCGATCTCCCAAAGATTTCGCTAAAATATCAAACTATTTGTTTAGCTGATGAAAAAGAAACAGAGGTCTCCGTTTCGCAACATGTTTTCCCTTCTCCAAGAAACATTTCCATTGAGTAGTTGACAATGCATTAATTAATCTCGATGGGTACTAGATCCAAGAATAACATTCATACGCTCAATGTTAAGTTCAACAGACTGGAGTTCATGACCTTTATTGAGTGTTATCTTTATGACCAATTAATATTACCGTAACGCAATCGAAAGCTCGGATACGTGTCTTCGCCACGAAAAACCGATCGTTTCTATTCGTAGTTTCATTTTTAATGATTAGGTGTGTGTGTGTGTATTAGCATTAATATCGGATCAATACTGTTATAAATATGTAACGAAGGGGAATCTAATTAGTCTATTCGAGACTATTAATTGGACCACATGTGTATATTCTTATCTTCGTGAGCTTTTAATTCTACTTATGTGATTATTTCTCTTCTTTAGTTTCTAAGATCCCCTAGATTTCAAGGTTTGTAAGATTTTTATTATTCCCTAGATTTCAAGGTTTCCTAGATTTCGAGATTTTTAAGATTCAAAACTTTCCTGGATTTCAAGGTTCTTAAGGTTAAAAAATTCCATAGATTTCAAGGTTCTTAAGGTTCCAAAATTCCCTAGATTTCAAGGTTTCTCAGATTTCAGGTCTCCCTAGATTTCAAGATTCTTAAGGTACAAAAATTCCATAGATTTCAAGGTTCTAAAGATTAAAAAATTCACTAGACTTCAAGGCTCTTAAGGTTCCAAGATTCCCTAGACTTCAAGGCTCTTAAGGTTCCAAAATTCCCTAGATTTCAAGGTTTCTCAGATTTCAGGTCTCCCTAGATTTCAAGATTCTTAAGGTACAAAAATTCCATAGATTTCAAGGTTCTAAAGATTAAAAAATTCACTAGACTTCAAGGCTCTTAAGATTCCAATATTCCCTAGATTTCAAGCTTCCTGAGATTTTCATGATTCTCTAAATTCCAAGGCTTCTCAGATTACAAGACTCCCTTGATTTCAAGATTATTAGGATTCAAAAATTCCATAGGTTTCAAGATTTTTAGGATATGTATGATTCCCTAATCTTCAAGGTTTCTAACATTCGAAAATTCCCTAGATTTCAAGGTTTTTAAGATTCCAAGATTCCCTAGATTTTAAGGGTCTTAAAATTTATATGACTCCTTAAACTCCAAGATTTCTAAGATTCTGAAATTCCCTAGATGTCAAGGTTTATATGATTTTTATGATTCTCTAAACTCCAAGGTTTCTAAGATTCCAAGATTTCCTAGATGTCAAGGTTCTTAAGACTTTCAAAATTCTCTAGAATCCAAGATTTTTTGAATTCTTTAGACCTCCTATATCCCCTCGATTTCCTAAATCCTTAGGACACCTCAAATTCCCTAGAGATCTAACAAACTTCATAGCCTTACATCTCCTATATATCCACATCGACTAGATTCCCTAGAATATTCATTAGATTCCAACATCCTCTAAATCCTTAAGTTCCACATATTTTGAGTTTGTCAAAATTAAAAGTTTCAAAGACCAACATCCTCGAATAGCATTTATAACAACTCTAATGTCCGAATGCATCCGGATTCACATAACCCTAATCGAAACGCAATATTTTCTTCCATCACTCATTGTTCAACAACGTCGTCGAAATGCTTCGGATGGCTGCGACACCGGATCCTCGAAAGGATTAACGATCCCGCCTGCCTTGATGGATTACCGACGAGTAATACGAATGGAATCCGCAGGTTTCGCGTTGCATCGTCGTCGTGGCGAGTGCACACCATGACACGGGAGAAAAAGAGAAGGTGAAGAAAAGAAAGGTAAATACTTTCGCCTAGCCTCGCGGAGGCCGAACGGTTACCCTGTACATTAAAAACAAAGGAACTCGTGTCCGCTTCTGTTTTATGTAACACTTTGTTCTTGAAAGATGGACGTATTTCACAGCGTTCGTGTCATGAATATGTAATGAAACAGAATCCACTGGGATCGCAGGGGAATCGATCCCTTATCCGAGAATAAACATCGTCATCACGATCTATTGAATAAATTCGGTTCCATGGTAATTCTTTGAAAAGTCACGCGGTTTTATTTGCTGTTTCTGTGAGTTGGTCAGCTTTGTAGTCTTCTCGTGTCTTCCTCTTTGAAAAGTCACGCGGTTTTATTTTCTCCTGTGACTTTGAGGATAATTTCTTAAGGATAAGAGTTATGTTCCTAATCCTTAATCCTTGTATTTTTAGATTTGTAAGGTCAACTTGTTCAGGAGACAGAGCTTCAAATTGTTTATTTCAAAATTTGTGGAGTTTCTGAATTCTCAAAATTCTAGGCTAAAATTTTACAAGATCAAACTTCTCAAATTTCCAAATTCCTAAATTCCCAAATTCTCACTTTTCAAATTCCAAAATTTCCAAATTTTCAAATCCCCAAATTCTCATTTTTTGAATCCCAAAATTTCCAAATTTCTAAGTTCCCAAATTCTCACTTTTCAAATTCCACAATTTCCAAATTCCCAGCTCCCCAAATTCTCACTTTCAAATTCCAAAATTTCTAAATTCCCACATCCCCAAATTCTCACTTTCCAAATCCCAAAATTCCCAAATTCCTAAATCCCCGAATTCTCATTTTCCAAATCCCAAAATTTCCAAATTTCCAAGTCCCCAAATTCTCACTTTTTGAATCCCAAAATTTCCAAATTTCTAAGTTCCCAAATTCTCACTTTTCAAATTCCACAATTTCCAAATTCCCAGCTCCCCAAATTCTCACTTTCAAATTCCAAAATTTCTAAATTCCCACATCCCCAAATTCTCACTTTCCAAATCCCAAAATTTCCAAATTTCCAAATTCCCAAATTCTCATTTTTTGAATCCCAAAATTTCCAAATTTCCAAGTCCCCAAATTCTCACTTTCCAAATCCCAAAATTCCCAAATTCCTAAATCCCCAAATTCTCATTTTCCTAAATCCCAAAATTCCCAAATTCCTAAATCCGCAAATTCTCACTTTCCAAATCCCAAAATTCCCAAATCTCTGAATCCTCAAATTCTCACTCTCCCAATCCCTAAATCCTCAAATTTCCAAAGTCCCCAAATTTCAAAATATCCAAATCCACATCTCCTTATTTCCTCTTTCTTTGACTTAGTCAGTTTTCTAGTCCTTTCGTGAAAGTCTTCCTTCTCTACGTTGCTCAGATAAACCAGAATAATCAAATAAATCAGAATTAAACATAATTCTCAGACGTAAAACTAGTACTCTTTCTGCACTAGTTGCAAGTGTCACAAGTTGCATTATCTTTGATCGTTGTGAAATAGACCCATTATCATTGCTACTTGTTGATACGGTAATCTTCGAACAGAAAATCTTGTTTGCTTCGCGACTTGATGAAAAAAAAGATTCTAATTAGATTCTTCCGTTTGGTAAGATACGGTAGACGAGATGTCCTTGTACAGGATTTAAATGGGTCGCGTATTGTTATCGTGTTACGATCAATTCTATAGGAATATAAAAGACTGATACTCGTACGTGAAGACAAAATTAATACAATAAATATTTCTGTTATGTTACGAGTATTTACGAATATTTACAGTATGTTGATATCTAGGAATATTAAGGTTTTAACGGTATTTAAGATTTAGGCATACTTTGGATTTGAGGATATTTAGGTTAGAATGATGTTTACAATTTTTAGATATTTAAATTATAAAGATGTTTAAAATTAAGGGATGTTTAGGTTGAGCAAGATTTTAAGATCTAGGGATATTTAGGTAACAGAGATGTTTAAAATTTAAGGATATTTAAGTTGCAAAGATATTTAAGATTAATAGGTTATTAAATTATCAAAATGTTTAAGATCTAGGGATATTTAGGTTACAAAAATGTTTAATGTCTGAGGATATTTAAGTTATAAAATTGTTACAGATTAAATGATATTTAGGTTACGTAAAATTTTAAGATCTAGGGATATTAAGATTACAAAAATGTTTAAAATTTAAGGATATTTATGTTACAAAGATATTTAAGATTAATAGGTAGTTAAGTTACTAAAATGTTTAAGATCCCTAAATATTTAAGGTACATAAATGTTTGAGGTCTAAAGATGTGTCTTACAAATACGTTTAAGATATACGAATATTTAAGGTTAGGTCAGTTTATATTCAAGGTTAGGTTCGGTTACGATATTCAAGTTTAGGTTAGGTTAAAATATTCAAGATTTATAGACATGCAGAAATGTTTGAGATCTAATGATGTGTCTTACAAATATGTTTAAGATCTATGAATATTTAAGGTTAGGTTAGCTTATATTTAAGGTTAGGTTGGGTTAAGATATTCAAGTTTAGGTTAGGTTAAAATATTCAAGATTTATAAACATGCAGAACTGTTTGAGATCTAAAGATGTGTCTTACAGAAATGTGTAAGATGTACGAATATTTAAGGTTAGGTTAGCTTATATTGAAGGTTAGATTCAGTTAGGATATTCAAGTTTAGGTTAGGTTAGAATATGCAAGATTTATAGACACAGTAACATATTTCAAAAGATACAAATGTCTCAACACAAATTAACGTCTTCATAAACAAATATCTCCATAATTACTCTCCCGATATTCCACTAATCAACGTTCCAAGTTTTTCCCCGCACATTTTCCTCGACCGAATTTATCGTACTCTCCGCAGATTTTTCCGGAAATAGTTGCGGCCTTTAATTAGAACGACTGAGAAATTATTTATAGACCGTTACGGAACGTTATAACAACATATATACCGTTGCTCCGTACATACATGCGTGCTTATATGTATACACATGTGCGTCCTTTCTAGCGAGCGTGGATTAGGAACGGTGCCAGATCGGGTCAGACGAAACCCGTTTAAATGATACGATACTTGGTAACAGAGCCATAACTATGTCTTTGCTATTATCAATGTCAGTGACCGTTAAACTTGCCTCATCCAGTGAACGTTGTAATTAATGTTGAATTTCAAACTCGTTCTTGAACTTAAATCGACTTTTAACTCCCCGACGGATTAATCGTGCGGATCGTTACGAAACGTTTGGGTTCCTTTTCAAACAATGGAAACGTGACCTTCGACCGCTTCTTCCTTGACCAAATAAAAACGAAAGAGTTATGTTCTTAAACCTTATTAAGAATATTTTTAAATATTCTTAATAACAAGGATGTGTTATTTGCGTTAATTACATGTATGTGTAATTTTATTGTGGGGGCTGCAGGATGTTTAGGACACGCTGTAACAATTATAGAGACTACATAAAATTATTTTTATTTTAAAAGAATTTTCAATGTTACTTTACAAAATTTTATGTAACTACAATAAAATGAAGCTATGGAAAATTATTTTTAATTCAAAGGAATTTTCAATGTTACTTCACAAAATTTTATGTAACTACAATAAAATGAAGCTACACAAAATTATTTTTAATTTAAAGGAATTTTCAATGTTACTTCACAAAATTTTTTGTAACTACAATAAAATAAAGCTATAGAAAATTATTTTTAATTCAAAAGAATTTTCAATGTTACTTCACAAAGTTTTATGTAACCACAATAAAATGAAGCTACATAAAATTATTTTTAATTTAAAAGAAATTTCAATGTTACATTACAAAATTTTATGTGCCTACAATAAAGTACTATGTACATAAATAATTTAGGAGGCAAGCTTTTATTTTCAATTATATTTCTCAACAATGATACAGAACATAACAATTGTAGTCGTATGTACATCTTGTCGAAAGAAAGAAATTACAACGTCATTCGATAATTAAATAATAACACGCGAAGAGATGCTCAGACACGATTAATTTTATTGTGCTTTCAAGGTAGAATTGTTGTTCGGGCACCGCAGCAATCTTCGATTTCTGCAAACAATGCCTATAGCGATTTGAGGAAACAATACGGTTCTCGAGAAGAGTATATCGAGCAGAAATTCGTTTGCTGACAATGGTGGCCACGTGGCCTTCTAGGTCCGCAAGTACACTCAAGTGTGGTTTCCCTAGATGAAAATATGGCAGTGAAGGAGGAAGATTCTCACGCTTATTAACTCAATTTTTAGGAATTTTTGATGATTTGAATATTTGGGAAAAGAGTAGGACATAGGAATTTGGGGATTGAGGAAGATTAGAGATTTGGAGATTGAAATCTAGGGATTTGGGAGTCTAGGAAATTGGGAATGTGGAGTCTTGAAGGTTTAGGTATTTGAAAGTTTAGAAATTTGGAGATGTAGATGGGGATTTAGGGATTTTGGGACATAGGAATTTGGGGATTTGGTAGTTTTTGGAACTGGGAATATGGGAATCTAGGGATTTTGGGATGTAGGAATTTGGGGAACTAGGAATATGGGAATCTAGAGATTTGGGGACATAGGAATTTGGGGAATTAACAATATGGGAACCTAGGGATTTTGGGATATAGGAATTTGGGGAACTAGAGATATGGGAATCTAGGGATTTGAGGTCGTAGGAATTTGGAGAACTAGGAATATGGGAATCTAGAGATTTTGGGACATAGGAATTTTGAGGCATAGGTATTTGGAAAATTGGGAATATGGGAATCTAGGGATTTGGGGACACAGGAATTTTGGGGCATAGGTATTTGGAAAATTGGGAATGTGGGAACCTAGGGATTTTAGGACATAGAAATTTGGGGAACTAGGAATATGGGAATCTAGGGATTTGGGGACATAGGAATTTAGGGAACTAGGAATATGGGAATCTAGGGATTTGGGGACATAGGAAATTGGGGTACTAGAAATGTGGGAATCTAGGGATTTGAGGTCGTAGGAATTTGGGGAACTAGAAATATGGGAATCTGCGAATTTTGAAGACTAGGAATTTCAGAATCTAGAAATTTGGAAATTTGAAAACTTGAAAATTTGAAAACTTAAAAACTTGAAAATTTGAAAACTTCAAAACTTCAAAACTTCAAAACTTGACAATTTGAAAACTAAAAACTTGAAAACTTGAAAACTTGAAAACTTGAAAACTTGAAAACTTGAAAATTTAGAAATTTCCTAATTCGATAACATTCACAAATTTGCAAATTCAGTCACCTCGAAACTTGAGTTTCCCAAAACTTAAAAATCTGAAAACTCAAAAAACTTGAAAATTTAATCACTCACAAACATCACCATTCCAACTACCAATACCTCGAAAACCAAAAATCTCGAAACCTCGAAAACTCAAGAATACAAACACACCCAAATGAAAAAATTCTTCACATATTTCACACATGTACCCTACCCAAAAAATCTACACTGCGTTCAAACCTACACAAATGCAAAATCGCCAACCAACCGATTCTTTCTCTTTCTCTCCTATCTCCATTCCTCCTTCATTCTCTTACTCGTTCATTTCTTACCAGTCTTACACGTGTCACCGGGTATTGCGTTCGTCTTCGCCAAGCAGAGTTTCTACATATATCAGCGATATACTCGGCGCTCTCCCCTTCATATTCGAGTAAGGTCTCGCGAGTATCGCACGCGTTCTTCTTTTCCTCATCGCGGCAGAAACCGAGTGACAATTTTCCGTTGTTTTTCTCGGAAAAGACAAGCAATGAAGACGTTCACGGCTCAGTGAATGATTATCGGAGCCGTTCGACGAGGATCTTGACGAGAAGAATCGAAGACGCGTTCCCGGTTGAATAGTTTCGCGAGGGATGATGATACGATCGAGCCGGCGAGCGTTTTTAATTACTAGTTACGTAATTCGAGGTTAGTCGCGCGGAAAACGACGCCAGCTGAAACGGAGCTGTTTGATGCCGTTCGGGTCCATTGTCTGATAGTGCGGTGCTCAAACAGGACTGGTTTCGAGAACGTAGTGTGATTTTAATCGTGTGAGCGAAAATTCGTTGAGGATTACTTCGAAAACGTAAGCTTCTTGACATTTTCTTCGCTGCTTATTTCAGTTTATTCAATTTTTCAAAATTAATTAAAAATAACCAATTATGATTTTTTGAATTATTGCAAATTCTCAACTGGTATCATTGTTTGTATGATGTGGGAAAAACGGATATAGTAATTGTATTCGAATATTCGAATAATGCAACACGTGGTTATGAGTCACTTATGATTAGAAGTAACATAATTTTGATTACTTAAAGTACTTCTATTACCAAACCATTGACATTTTTGTAATAAATATTAATTACGCTGCTGTAAATTTTTATGACTTGTAGACGTTTACGAATATTGATGAAATGGTGTATTTTGTACTGCGAAATATTTGAAATATAGGATGATTAACGATTTAAGGATATTTGCTAGCTGGGAATATTTGGTATTTAGAGATATTTTGATGTAAAGAAATTCTCACTATTGGAATATTCAAAATTTGGTGACATAGATTTCTGGTGCATGGCAATTTAATGGGTAGAAATTTAACTTGTGGCAATATATCGCGAGGGAATCTAACGCGTGGTATTCCAACGTCTAGCTATATAGCGTGTGGCAAATTGACGCGTGGTAGTCTAATGCGTAAAAATTTCACGTGTGGTAATATATCACAAGGAAATCTAATGTGTGGCAATATATCGCGAGGGAATCTAGCGCGCGGTATTCTAACTTATAGCTATGTAGCGCATGGCGAATTAACGCGTGGTAGTCTAATGCGCAAAAATTTCACGCGTGGCAATATATCGCGAGGGAATTTCGTGCGTGGCAATATATCGCGAGAGAATCTAGTTCGTGGTATTCTAACGTGTAGCTGTGTAGCGCGTGGAAAATTGACGAGTGGTAATCTAATACATAGAAGTTTCACGTGCGGCAATATATCGCGAGGGAATTCAGTACGTAGTATTGTAACGTGTAGATATATAGCGCGTGGCAAATACACGGGCAATAGTTTAATGCGTAGAAATTTAACGCGTGGCAATATACCGCGAGGGAATTTAGTGCGTGGCAATATATCACGAGGGAATTCAGTGCGTGGTATTGTAACGTGTAGATATATAGCGCGTGGCAAATTAATGCGTGGTAATCTAACGCGTGAAATTTAACGCGTGGCAATATATCGTGAGGGAACCTAGTGTGTGGAATTTTAACGTGTAGCTATATAACGCGTGGTAATCTAACGCGTAGAAATTTAACCCGTAGAAATTTAATGCGTGGAAATTTAACGCGTAGAAATTTAACGCATGGCAATATATTGCGAGGGAATCTAGTGCGTGGCAATATAACGCGCGGCAAATTTAATGTGAGGTAATGTAACGTGTGGTAATCTAATGCGTGGAAATTTAACGCGTAGCAATATATTGCGAGGGAACCTAGTGCGTGGAATTCTAGCGTGTAGCTATATAACGCATGGTAATGTAACGCTTAGAAATTCAACGCGTAGAAATTTAACGCGTAGAAATTTGATGCGTAGAAATTTGATGCGTGGCAATATATTGCGAAGGAATCAAGTGCGTGGCAATATAACGCGCGGTAAATTTAATGTGAGGTAATGTAACGTGTGGTAACTGAACGCGTGGTAATCTAACGCGTGGTAATCTAACGCGTGGCAATATAACGCGTAATAATTCGTCCCATAAATCTTCTACCTTAAGGCAATATATCGCGTGAAAATCTAACTCCTCCTATAGCCTATAATCTATCGCATATATCGCGTGGTTATACGACGCGATAATAAATAACTTATAACGTATTGTACACCGCGTAAAGATGCAGACGTAGATCGCGTGGTGGTCTTCTCCGCGATGATATAACGCCTAGACAAAAAAAGTTAATTGCGTCAATGATTCTCATAAACGCTCCGAAAGCGTTTCTTTCAGTTTGCTTTCACACGATATTCGACCCGGCAGACATGTCTTAAGGCTCCCCGTGTTGGTTCGCGTTCGTGTCTCGTTTACAATTCAGTTTACAATCGAGCTGCGTGTCACGATCCACTTGACTCTCGGTTACAATAGTAATTGAACAGCTCCGACACAAATAAGTCGCATTTAATTTATCGTTTGACAGATTCGAAAACGAGACACACGGCGGACTTTGCTCCACAATTTCAGCCAGTTCGAACAGCAATTGCTGTGGTTAGCGTATTCCGCTTCAAGAACTCCACTTTCTCAAGTTCGACTGTTGTGGAAACGTTCTCCAGGAAACATGAGCGCCGGGTGAGATTCGTGATAGTCTACTCGAGGTTATTCTTTGACCTCTACCGCGAACTGGCTTTCGACTCTTTTTTTCCTGTGTTTTGTTATCGGCGTTCATTAATATACTTATCGTCGGCTACGAATCTATTCGTTAATCGCCTCTTCCTAATCTTAAAGTATAATTTTTATTTTGCGGTTTGTCCCCTATTACGCATTCTTCCGTTTATCGAATTATTTGCTTAGACACATATAAGAATTGCTCGTTCTCTAACTATGAAAGTTGCTGAACTAATCTCTTTCGATACAAAAGCACACTTCAAGCAAAACAAAGTAACGACAATAACGTGAAATATGAAATGTTCCAGAGAAATGAAGAATATGAAGAACAGCGTGAACAACCAGAACAACGCCGTGGGGCCAACGGAGACGACGGCTCTGAGGCAAAAATTGGAGAGTTTCGATGATATTCTACCGTACGTCGGTGATTATGGCAGATACCAATGGCTGCTGTTGTTATCGTTGTTACCTTACGGTGTTACGTACGCTTTCTTGTATTTCTCCCAATTCTTCATCACGATCATACCTTCGGAACACTGGTGCAGGATTGATGAATTGATGAACTCGAATTTTACTGCGGCAGATAGGTGAGATTTGCAATTAATATTTATTTTTATTTAGTTTGAAATGAATCGATTGGTTTCAAATAGTGAATTAATAATAGCAATGCTATGTATAATAATATGTGTGATAATAATGGCAATATGTTAATGAAAGCAGTATGTAGGTAATGTCTTGATAAAGGCAATATATTGTGTATGCAATGTATTGTACAGGAAATATATTGTATAGACAATATGTTAATAAAGGCAATGTTGTATAGATAATATATTAATAAAAGCAATATATGCTAAAGACAATATGTTAATAAAAATAATACATTATATAAACAATATATGAATAAAGGCAATATATTGTGAAGGCAATATACCATATAAGAAATATATTGAACAGACAATACATCAACAAAGAACATATACATCATATATCCTTAAAAAAAGTATGCGAAAAAAGTATCCTCAAATAAATGCGAATCTCTTTATTTCTTAAATAAAAATCTTAGAGACTAGAGACTAGAGACTAGAGTCTACAGAAGAGACTTAATGAAAGCAACTATTATAGTTACTTAATATTTGCAGAATTCGAATAGCAATTCCGAAGACAGGAGAGTATCCTTACTACGACCAGTGTAATCGGAAAGATTTGAATTTCGCGGAGCTCCTCAGCAGCGGCACAGACCTGCACTCCATGGAGTTCCGAACGAACAAAACTGCGCAATGTACGCGATGGGAATACAATTTCACGCAGATCCCATATGCTAGTGTGGGTGCCGAGGTGAGGTATTCGGAATAATTCAACTTTTCGGTCATTTGAATAGTCGAGTGCGTGAACTCTAGTGAAATACGCGGTGTAACCTAAGTTGGAGTGTTTTGAATATTCAGATGGTTGATGATTGAGAGGATATTTAGTATAATTTGAAATTCGTAAGCGTTGAATGTTCAAATGGACGTGGACATGCACCTATGGATGCCCAGATTTATAGATAAATGAAGTCATAGATGCCTTGATCCATGGATTCCTAGATCTTTAGATAGGTAGATAGGTAGATAGGTAGACACCTAGACACCTAGACACCCAGACACCTAGATACCTAGATATCTAAACTGGTAGATACCTAGATAGCTAGACACCTAAATACCTAAATAGCTAGATAGCTAGACACCTAGACACCTAGACACCTAGACAACTACACACCTAGATACCCAGATACCTAAACTGGTAGATACCTAGATAGCTAGACACCTAAATACCTAGATAGCTAGATAGCTAGACACCTAGACACCTAGATAGCTAGACACGTAAATACCTAGATAGCTAGATAGCTAGACACCTAGACACCTAGACACCTAGACACCTAGACACCTAGACACCTAGACACCTAGACACCTAGATACCTAGATACCTAAACTGGTAGATACCTAGATAGCTAGACACCTAAATACCTAGATAGCTAGATAGCTAGACACCCAGACACCTAGACACCTAGATACCTAAACACCTATATACTTAGATAGCTAGATACCTGGACACCTAGTCACCTAGACATCTAGACACCTAGACACCTAGACACCTAGAGACCTAGACACCTAGATCCATAGACACCTAGATCCCTCCATATCTTGATCCCTTGATACATAGATCCCTGGATAGCTAGATCTCCAGATGCATACATCCCTACATGACCACATCCCCACATGACCACATCCCTACATGACCACATCTCTACATGACCATATCCCTAAATGACCACATCCCACAAATCCTTCACATTCTCAAAATCCACAAACATCCATAACCTTCATATTCTCAAAATCCACAAACATCCATATCCTTAAATGTTCAGATCCCAAAATCCCTATACCCTTAAGCTCCACATCCCTACATTTCTACTTCCATATAATTCCAAACTTGCACACTTCGAGTACTCGAATATTTCAATATTTCAATCCAGAATTCATGCACGAGCCATTTCGTACGAATATGTAATATCTCAGGTACGAATATATCCGTGGTCAGCCCATTTTCACCGACTAATCCTTAGCCCTTGGTGATTAGCTAGATTGGGTATGCGACCGAGGGTACCTCGTATCGACGGCGCAGGCGATCTTCTTCTGCGGATCCATCGTTGGCGGTTTCTTGATCGGCTGGATAGCAGATCATAAAGGTCGGATACCGGCTTTAGTATTCTGCCTGGGTATCGCTCTTCTAAGCTCAATCGCCACCGGCAGCAGCAATAGCTTTTGGTCTTTCGCTGTGTGCCGATTCCTCACTGGACTCGCGTTCGACAACTGCATCAACATTCCTCTTATAATCGGTGAGGTTTTTCAATAATATGTACCACGATGATAACCTCTGATTCATCGCCACTTTTTTTTAACCTAATTATCACTTCGATGAATTATGAGCTTTATTATCTTTCATTTTTTGGACTACATAATTTGAAGTACGTAATTGTTAAGTATAAGTATGTTTATATGTAAGAGTAATCAGGTGATTATAATACAATAAAATTGTAATCGAATATGTGAATGATCTACATGTTTCGTGACACGTGGGGTGAGACGATGATTATTGTTCAAATTAATTTCTTGTCTGCTGATTGCAGGAAATGTTTTTGTAAATTATGATTATGATAACGTTATTGCTGTAATTTACTAATAAGTGCTAATGATTACTCCATTAAGATTACTTCATTATGATAACTCGATTATGACTACTTGACTATGATAACTTGATTATGATAAGTTCATTATGATAATTTCACTATGATTACTTGAATATGACTACTTAGTTTTGATATCTTCTTTATCAAAACTCGACTATCATAACATGAATATGATAACTTGTCTCTGATACTTCAATTTTAATAGGTTGATTATAGTAACTTGACTATGATGATTCAATTATAACAATTTATATGTTACTTGACTATGATAACTTGATCACAAATAATTGACTATCATAACCTGACTATTATTAGTTGATTATGATACATTGACTATGATAACTTGAATATGACTACTTGAGAATGATGACTCAACTATAATATCTTGATCCTAAAAACATGACTATCATAGCTTGACTATTATGACTTGACTATCATAACTGGACTATTATAACTTGACTATTATGACTTGACTATCGTAACTTGATTATCAAAGCTTGACTATCATATCTTGATTATCATAACTTATTATTATAACTTGACCATCATGACTTGACTATCATAACTTGGCCATTATGACTTGACTATCATAACTTGACTATCGTAACTTGATTATCAAAACTTGATTATCAAAGTTTGACTATCATACCTCGATTATCATAACTTGGCCATTATGACTTGACTATTATAACTAGACTATTATGGCTTGACTATCACAACTTGATTATCATAACTTGTATATCATAAGCTGATTATCATAACTTGACTATCACAACTTGGCTATTATGACTTGACTATCATAACTTGACTATCATAACTTGACTATCATAACTTGACTATCATAACTTGACTATCATAACTTGATTATCATAACTTGTCTATCATAACTTGACTACCATAACTTGACTATTATCATTCGATTATGATAAGCTACCCATGATAACTTGAATAAGACTATTTGAGTATGATGACTCGACTATAATAACTTGATCTTCAATTTGAATAACAGCATAAAAAATTTCTTTCACAGTATTGGAGTACATGGCGGTCTCCAAACGCACACTGGTGGTAAACGTGGCTTTCGGTATATACTTCGCAATAGCTAGCACCATTTTACCGTGGATAGCATACTACGTATCTAACTGGAGGTGTTTCACTTACATCACTGCCATACCATTGATGTCCGTGTTCGTTACACCATGGATCCTGCCCGAGAGCGCCCGGTATGTAAACCGACTATTCGACTCTGTGTAAAGATTTGCTTATCGATTCGTTCGTCGAAAATTTACTTTTCCAGATGGTACGTTTCCAACGGAATGATGAACAAGGTTGTAATGAAGCTGCGGAAGATCGCAAGGATCAACCGCATGTATCCGGATCCTCGTATTTATGATGTCTTCGTTGTAAGTGAAAGGAGTAAACATTTTTGACGTAGTTTTAGCTAAGCGATATTTAGGAGATCTACCCAGATAAGAATTCGTTTTATTTTACATATTCAAATATTGTTTTTTATCGTTGTGTTTTGAATTCACTTATGTTGCGTTTTGAAGTCGTTTGTGTTATCTTAAATTGTATTGCCTTCGGTGCTCATTAATATTAATTACCGTTTTGTTAAATTATTTTTTAAGAAGGAGGTCTTAACTTTCGTGGCCATTTTACGTAGTTCAATTTTTGTTTACTGTAAAATTGTCAGTTATTCATTTAAAATTATGTAACTGATGCAAAATTATATAATTCACTTTCAAATTGCAGTTAGCTAGAAAGTCAAATGGTTGTACCGCTCCTTTAATTCAAATATAAATTTATCTATCGATTATAACCGATCCCAAATACCTATCTATTTAAAAATTGTTCAATCGAGCAAATATTTGTAAGACACTCACCATTCGCTGTTCTAGTTTTGATCCTTCAATCGTCCATGTGTTCACCTATCATATCTTGATTTTATCGAACAAATATTTGCTTTCAGACCAATCTGGAGGCTTCAGAGAGATTGCAAGAGACAGCAACATTGGTTGATCTCTTTAAATCACCTAGGTTGTCAAGGAATACTATTCTTCTTGTCCTCTTTTGGTAAATATGCGAAAACGAGGCGTTTGTGTAGAATCTCTACCTTGTCGATTTAAGGGAATTTTCATTGTTTGATATAAGTGAACTTATAGCGCAAATTATGCATCAAGTTATAGAAATCATAGATCGAATTATAGATCAAATCATGGATCAAATTATAGATCAATTTATAGATCAAAGTATAGGTCAGATTTGATAGTCATATATCAAATCATATATCAAATCATACATCAGATCATACATGAAATCATACATCAAATCACAGATCAAATCATACATCAGATAATAATTCAAAACATATATCAAATCATATGTCAACTCATACATCAAATCATATATCAACTCATAGATCAAATCATACACCAAATCATACATGAAATCATATATCAAATTATACATCAAATCATATATCAAATTATATATCAACTCATATATTAAATCATACATCAGATAATACATCAAAACATATATCAAATCTTACACCAAATCATATATGAAATTACACATCAAATCATATATCAAATCATACACCAAATCATATATGAAATTACACATCAAATCATAGATCAAATCATACACTAAATCGTACATGAAATCATATATCTAATCATACATCAAAACATATATCTAATCATACGTCAACTCATACATCAAATCATATGTCAACTCATATATCAAATCATACATCAAAACATATATCAACTCATACACCAAATCATACATCAAATCATATATCTAATCATACGTCAACTCATACATCAAATCATATATCAACTCATATATCTAATCATACGTCAACTCATATATCAAAACATACATAAAATCATACATAAGATCAATATCACTAAAATCGTCAAGGTAAATCATAATCTACATAGTTATCAGAGATCATTCTTGAAAATAAAGTTAATTGCTAATTGATCACGTGTTATTTTACAGGAGTTTGACAGTGATCTCATTCGACAGCCACGTGTACTCGTTAAAACTCATTCCAAGCTCGGTTTTTACGTCTTTCTCCGTGGCGTGTTCTACGGAACTTCCGGCTGGTTTGTTACTGACCGCAGTGCTGGATCGATGGGGTCGTAGATTATGTGGATTTCTCACGATGGCGACAACCTGCTTGTTCACTATCATCGAACTGCTGCTGCAATCAAGTAAATATATATATGTTTAGGACGGTTATTGTTAGACTGTAAGAGAATTTGGAAATTTGAGAATTTGGGGAATTGAGAAATTGGAGATTTGAGAATTTAGGAATTGAGAAATTGGGGATTTGAGAATTTGGGGAATTGAGAAATTGGAGATTTGAGAATTTGGGGAATTGAGAAATTGGAGATTTGGGAATTTGGAAATTTGAGAATTTGGAGATTTGAGAATTTGGGGAATTGAGAAATTGGAGATTTGAGAATTTGGGGAATTGAGAAATTGGAGATTTGAGAATTTGGGGAATTGAGAAATTGGAGATTTGAGAATTTGGGGAATTGAGAAATTGGAGATTTGAGAATTTGGGGAATTGAGAAATTGGAGATTTGAGAATTTGGGGAATTGAGAAATTGGAGATTTGAGAATTTGGGGAATTGAGAAATTGGAGATTTGAGAATTTGGGGAATTGAGAAATTGGAGATTTGAGAATTTGGGGAATTGAGAAATTGGAGATTTGAGAATTTGGGGAATTGAGAAATTGGAGATTTGAGAATTTGGGGAATTGAGAAATTGGAGATTTGAGAATTTGGGGAATTGAGAAATTGGAGATTTGAGAATTTGGGGAATTGAGAAATTGGAGATTGGAGAATTTGGGGAATTGAGAAATTGGAGATTTGAGAATTTGGGAAATTGAGAATTCAGAAACTTGAGAATTTGGGGAATTGAGAATTCAGAAACTTGAGAATTTGGGAATTGAGAATTCAGAAACTTGAGAATTTGCAAAACTAAGAACTTGAGGATTTGAGAAATTGGAGATTTAAGAATTTGGAAAACTGAGAATTCAGAAACTTGAGAATTTATGTAGAAGTATTGAGAAGTGAAATTATTTATTGTCACATTTACCTACATAATTTTACTTTCCATTAATTTGTTATCCAGTAACTGCCAAGCTGGCCATGTCGGTGTTGTCACGGTTCTGTCTAAACATGGCAGCTAACATTGGACTTCAATACGCAGCTGAATTACTACCAACTCCCGTCAGATCACAAGGTGTATCATTAATTCATATTTTCGGAATAATTGCACACTCTATAGCACCATACATCACTGATACCGTAAGTAAATTCATTTTATATCTACACATTTCTTCATTTTCTATTAAAGTCAAAATTAATCATTGAACTCAAAAAAGAAATATTTTTATTTTGAATCAAAATTTACTTCCAGCAGTCAGTTATTAATGATTGACTATCACAGACAAACTTTTAGTTTAAAATAAAAGAAGTAATAATTTCATAATATAATTTTGCAATTTAATTTAATTTATAATATAACTAGTAATATTATTTCAATATTATCTCAACTTGAGATTATTAAATATTCTTCTTGAATTAATGCAAGCTTGAATTAATCTCAAATTCCCAAATTTGCAAGTTCCCAACTTCTCAAATTCCCAATTTCTCAAATTCCCAATTTCTCAAATTCCCAACTTCTCAAGTTCCCAACTTCTCAAGTACCTAATTTCTCAAATTCCCAATTTCTCAAATTCCCAATTTCTTAAATTCCCAATTTCTCAAATTCCCAACTTCTCAAATTCCCAACTTCTCAAATTCCCAATTTCTCAAATTCCCAACTTCTCAAATTCTCAATTTCTTAAATTCCCAACTTCTCAAATTTCCAACTTCTCAAATTCCCAAATTAATGCTTCATTAATTAATTTTTTAGGCAAAACTTTGGGAGGGACTCCCAATGCTAATAATAAGCATAGTATCGTTCCTCGGCGCCATGTTGGTTTTGTTCCTGCCGGAAACCGTCGGTCAGAATCTTCCTCAGACGATCAAGCAGGGCGAAGAATTCGGAAAAGATCAACAATTTTGGTCCTTACCGTGCTATCAAAAAACTTCCTACGATAACCAACGACATTACGGTTCCTGAATATTTATAATCATTCAATTTCCATTTTTCATTTCAACGAAAACACGAACTGTAACAACTGTGTTGAAGTATCACCGTGATACTTTTAGTACATCAAGCATGTTATTTTGTATTTCTCTACTTTTATTATCTATTTCTAAGTCTTGTGATAGAATCACCGAGAATACTTAGAATTAATGTTCCTACATAGTTTTTTAATGTTACGTTTTATTTTAAGAGTTTTTTCATCTGTTTTTGTATTATGTTACTCGTTCAAAAGTCAGCAGTTGGTTCCGTTATTTAAAATGTTAATAAAAAACGGACTAATTTCTCGCATATTCTTTTTACAATATTTCTTACATTACAACGTTTTAACCAACTGTACTTAAAAATGTTTCTTTTTAACAGTATCATAATTATGATATAGTTAATTGTAACATTAAGGTTAAAACGATAATGTAACACTGTAGAAAACATTGTGAAATGAGCTCCAACTGCTGGTTTTTTATCCATGCTTAAAACCGTGGATAGTTTGATTAGGTGAGAAAAGAATTGTCAACTGTGCCATCGAATGACGATCAGTGTTCGTCGTTGTATCAATAACAACGCTATCAACTGAAAAATACGTCTTACTTTTATTTTCGCATCAACCTCTCGTTTTATACACGCTTTACATATTTCTGTAAACCATCCAACTTCGAGTCGTGACCTACTTTAGGTTACAAAAGTTTGTTTCTTTTTCATGAAGGGTTTTCTTCCCTTGCAATATGTTATTTTATTTTTTAATTTTGTGTTGTTATATTTTATAAACTTGACATATTACTAAAGTAGTTTTATTAATAAATTTATTATATTACTAAAGTAGTTGTATTGATAAATTTATTATATTATTAAAGTAACTACTTAATTTATTTATAATGCAACATTTATCATACTTCACTATATTCATTTACCAAAACAGTATAAGTTTGTAATAAATAAATTTTACAGATCTCTGCAAGATTACAACAATGCAACGTTTATCATACTTCACTA